CGATGGAGGTGCGGATGCAATGTAATGAAATAGTTTACATGTATTTGATGAAAATTCCTAATGTATGGAATTAAGGGGAAAACATAAACTGTCAATAAACTCATCATAGATCAATAAGATTATCAAGGTGCAAAATGAAAAGAAGGAAACATTTGAAGAATATTCGATGACTATAGTTTACTTAGGTATGTAATAAAACGGTATTTTGAAAATATTGCTTCACACAATTCAATAAATAATTATAAGTACAATGTATGTCAATGAAATTAAGCCAAAACGGTATGCTAATTTTTGCCTTTTCGATATTTTTTTCCCAATGCAGTGTGGAAGATCACAACTTTGCGCAACGCTAGAATATAAGTTAAATCAACAGGTTATGAGAACCTAACTGAAGGAATCTTGAAATAAATTATAGAAATATTCTTTGAGAAAAGGCAGAAGATCGTGTGCACCTTTTACATTCGGGCGTGTTTGAAACTCCTGTTTTTGGCCTTTTAACTAATAAACAAAGAATAAGAGTACCATCTTGAATCATGCCTGTACCAAGTCAGAAATATGTTGTTTTCCATTCGTTTGAGCTTTTGATTTTGCCATTTGATAAGGGACTTTCCGGTTTGAATTTTCCTTGGAGTTCGGTATTTTTTGATATTCTACTTTTTTCAGTCAGATATAAACTTCATTTAAAAGTTTTGAGAATTAAACCTTTGAGAAAAGCTAAATATATGGGTCCATTAAATGGACCAAATAATCTGCGTTATTTGGTTACTGCATTAATTGTTCCCTTGAGAGATTGTTGTCAATACAATCGTCCAAAATATGTCAAGATTTAAAATAGCAGATTAGGTTAGTTTTTTAATAATATCAATTCCAACGCAATATATTATTATATATTTCAACGAGCAAAATATTCATACAGTATATCCTCCCCTCCGTCATGCTTCAGTTGAATAGGCCACGATATAATTAGACAGGTTGGTTATGTCGAGTAATTTTATTGGAAATCTTTATTAAGACCAGACATGACTACAAATTTATACATCCCGGACAACCAAACGGACGCCTACTGTATCAAGGGTATTACTGGTGGAACAGGAGGAATCAAGTTGACTATATTTCTATACCCAGATGATAAAAGAGGAAAATAAATTAATATTAATAAGGTTTAGAAAGTTATTGTGAGATATGTATGCGTTAAGATGAAAAAATACACTAATTAGGGATAACGGGAAGCAAGTAATGCCATCTAAATTTACAAGAATGTAATAAACAATGGCTCTCAAAAGTAAGGATAAAATATTTTTTAAAAAGACTTTGATATATGAAGTGAAGTCTGTTGTCAATTGTATGCAAGTTTAAAGTGACATGTAGACTTTGACAATTACCGTTGACCAATGTCCATTCTGGCTGATCTGTAAATGACGTTTCGGTTTGACGGACTTTTGTGTTTTATATATTGACACCCTAAACTACTGTACATGTGCCTATATGGACATTCTATGACATAAACCAATACATCACATAGATTATTGTCAAGTGCTTCGATTCTAATGTGATTGTAATATTAATATTGACTTACCAAATTATCGATGAATAATACAAAATAGGATTAGAAATCAGATAGACAGAGTTAAAGGTGCAATAGATGTCAGATTAATGTTCATTGATTTGACTCAAATTCTCATATTCGATTTATAACATACTTAAACGTATATCCAAATTACAATAAGTCTGAAATAAACAATTAAAAATGTATGGACTCGATAAGTATCTGCATTTCGTGTGTATTTCAGTATAGTTGCCACCTTATTAACCATTGAGATGACCTTCGAAGACTGCCGACGGTCATATTACCCGATAGAAACATAAATATAAATATAAATAGATAGCGACCACGAGCGGTTCGATTTGTCTTGGTCTGTTTGATTCATGGTATAGGTAAAAAAAATATATTAATCTTCGTTTTTACCTGTTTAAGAATCAATTTTTGGTGGATCGAATCAGTCAACGAAATGGTTCACCCTTGTTTCACTTTCAATGTTGATATTCGTTTCCTTTTAATTGCTGAACACGCCTAGTACGTGCCTAGCTCATCTCCAGCTAAAGGGTTAAATTAAAGGTCACATGAACACGAATTCAAAAGGTTGATCATGAATACATAAGCAATGTTTTTTTTAGCTTATTTTGACAAATTTGGGCTGACTGCTTATAACGAAAAATTGTTTCAAAATTCTGATTTTATTAATACTTGAAACAAAAAGAATCGTAATTTAAATCGTAGCTAATGCCCAACACCAAATCTTGTCTGTTATGCCTATGCCTCTTTCTGTGGAGATTCAGATAAATTCAGTGTTTACATATTTGGTTATAAGAACTTTGGGACTCGAACATACAAGATAATGTCTCATTGGTATATATTTATCCTATATTCTGAAAGTATAGCGATAAAGACAACGGTCTTAGTGATGTAATACTGGTTTGTGATAGAAATTACTAATGTGTTCATATGTTATTACAAAGGAGTAGGTAAGGGCTCTGAAATTGAAAAAAAGACGTAAAAGGATCCTAGCGAAAATTGTCAATTTTATGATGAGTGTCAGTCATATTTGTATAATTAAAATTAAAAGAAATACAAAACAAAACAAAAACAAATAGCAAATAACAACAAAGCCAAATTTGGTCGTTTCAGTACAATTATACTCGAGTAATGGTATTTTGACATTTCAATAAGTTTCTTCACATAAACAGGGGAGTAAATCTAAGGTTGCAATGAAAACCATAATTTGAGAATTAGACAATACCATTGCTAAATAAACAAGACGGCAAACAACAGCAAACTACTGTCAAAGATGGATCATCCAAATCACAGACTCAAGTGCTCTGGAATGATCAACAGTCCCTTTTCCTACGATGAGTTTATTATTCCACTAGTGATACCTGTCTTAATAGTCATGTCAAAAATTCTGAAGAGTCATATCTTGTATTAAGGATGTACTCAGGTGAGGTTTATGAATTTTTTGTCAGATGTTCTGACTTCTTTTGTGTTTTTCCTACGATACAGGGTAAAATAGTATGTCCCATATCACCCACTTTCTTTTCACAGAAGTCTTCAATAGCTCATAAAAAGATCATTACCAAAATTTAAGCAGATTCTAGATGTTCTTTCTTACGATTTGAGACCCTATTAATGTCAATGCTAAATATAAGGTAAACGTCCGAGTCAGCCTTTCCCGCTATTTAAAAAAAAATATCACAAAAAGGAGTTCCTTAACCTATCAATATTTTAGCTTATTTTGTTCCTTAACTAATTTTCTTTTAACTTACAATATCAATTTCGAATTCTAGATTTTTTAAATTTCACCTAAGTACATCCTTAATTCAGTAAAAGATAATGATGCGTCATAACATATGATTACGTATCATAAAATAGCGGATTGATTTAGGTCTCTTTTATAACCCTAAGGTATCACAAAATACATAAAACATCGGAATATGAAAATTTTCCAACAAAAAAACATGATCCAATTTGAAAACACCGTTTTTGAATAAAGGAAATTCGACATTCACCACCATAAACAATATTGACATTGACAAAACAATAAAAGTAAAATGTTTAACGCATTTTATGTTATTTCACTAGGACCAGTGGCAGGACAATGGGGAGAATGGGGAGCTTGGGGGGACTGCAAAAAGCCTAACTTTGGCACTTACGGAACTGGAACCTATCTACGTTCACGAAAATGTGATAATCCAGTTAATATTTGTGAAGGCGAATATTGCATAGGAGTAAATCAGACTGAAGGAAATTGCAGAGGTAAGGAATAATAGTACTAAGAGAACTTGAACTCAAAACAAGGCATCAATGTCAATTAATATTGCTTGATCACAACTGATTATTGGACTGTAATGAAGGTTCCTTAAACATATTTAATCAACAAAGAACAGCGTGAGATTTGTATAGTTTTATAACAAATACCTAATTCAAGTGTAGTAAAAAAGAACTTTATACGGAGAGAGTGGTTAAGAATGTAATTTATTGGTGGATATAATGTGATAAAAATTTGAGACAAAAGTCGTTTACCGATGTTCAAATCTCATAGATTCATTCAGAAAAAACAAACCTAGATTAAAAAAAACTTAGGCAATCACAAAAACTCCAGGAATCGAGACCGAGTGATTAAAGAGAGTGTTCGTCCCCTGGTTTGCATGTATCACCCATACACTGGTTTGCATGTATCACCCATACACTATTATTCGATCATTGATCTGTAGGCATGGAGATTTAATTTATATAGACAAATGTTGATTTCGCAAATAAATCCTATTTTGTCTAAAAATAATATTGATTTGAAATTCTCATGGAGGGAACAAAGATTTGGCAATATTGTTCATTCGGATAAAAAAAATCGTACTGGACAAATTACACAATCTGAACTTACGACGAATACCTTCGATTGTTTTTTTTTATATTTATTAACGGCCAGTGGCAAATATGTCATGTGGATTCAGGAAGAAAAAAATAAACTAAATATGAAATATTACAAGGTGAGTCGATCGTGCTGAAGGTCAGCAAATATGAATCGCCTCTCTAGATCTCTCTCCCTCTCTACATGTCGCAAAACAAAACGTACGCCTTTTTCATCACCAGTTTTACTACTCGATGGATGGGATAATTATACAAACGGTACCAATTTTTTTCTGCACCAGATGCGCATTTAGGGAATTAACGTCTCTTTAATGATGGTCAAGGCCGAAATATTTGGAAATCAAAAACTAATTACTAATTTTGTAAGTTTTTTTGGACTTTCACCTTTTTGAATTTACATTTGAGTTCGATACTTTAGTTTACTTTTTTATCATATTTCTATACTCTATTAATTTTTTATGTTTTCGATGCCTTTTTATGTTAGACTCTGGTGTAAACTTATATTATTCAATGAAATGAGAAAAAGTACCATCATTATGAATTTTTGGTATTAAAACAAATAAATTGTATTTTGCAGTTGTGCCTCCATGTCTTACATACCAAATGTTTAGCGACAAATTTCTTAAAAAAGAAAATGCTATGTCAATTTATACCTCAGCACAAGTAAATATATACCTTCTGACAAAAAACAAGTGTACGACGGCAACTATAATTCATACGTATTTTGAATTATACAAGATAACAAACATAACTGCTAACACAGAAGTGCAGGTCGGGGGGAAGGACTACAGTGTGAAGTTCAAGTTTAACCCAGGAGAACATGACATAGGATACTATCGTTTATATGCAAGGATAGGATATCCTGCAAGCATGGAACACTGGATGGAAGAATCAATGTTTGTGAAAATAGAGCAACCACCACCACATGCATTTATAAAAGGTGGAGCTGGAAGGACTATTGGTCAAGGAATCTCAGAACTTGACGCTCGTTCTATGTCGTATAGTTTAACTAAAGGACCCGGTGATCCTTCAGGTCTTATTTTTTCTTGGAGATGTCTTAATTTTGTCACACATAATATCTATAATCTACTGCAATTTGATATTAAACCAGTATTAGCTTTTAAGGATAAAAGTGATTATAAAAAGAAATGGTACGAAACTAACTTTGTTCTATATATAAAAAACAAAGTCGCATTCATCCATGGCTCTACACTTGCCGCCTTTGTAAATAACCTAAAACATTCTAATTCCACATGCATGCTTGGTAATGAGTTTTACGTCAAGGCTGAACTTTATAAATATCCCCCAGCCAAAAAACAGATAGACGAAACAATAGAAGCATACGATAATTTTTCTTCGACATCAATATCCAATACATGGAATGGGAGCAATATTACAACTTCAATAATGACAACACTAGAAACAACTGTTACTCAAGGAAATGATACTGTTAGTACATTGAGTAATATGACAACATTTGAAGCAATGACAACAACAGAGGAGACAACTACGCCAGCGCCTCTTTATGATCTGATAGCTCTTACGCGATTTTTTGAAATTGACTTTATGAATGACATGGAGTCAAAACCTAAATCCGAACTGAACAGCACAGAATTTGTCTTACCTTCTCAAGAAAATTACACACTTGTTTTAAACGAAATGTTAGAATTTCTAACAATTTTGTATGATGAAGAATCTGAAGCCTTTCTACAGGATACAGACGACTTTTTTGAAAGGTTATCTGATAGTTCATTAACTCTTGATAGTTTATATAAATTAAGTGAACTTTCTGGGTTGCCTGCAAGTGCTAATGCTACATTTTTTGATAATCTACTAGAATGGCTGCAAAACGCAAATGTATCGAAACAATTTGCATATGAGCTGCGGGATTTGTTGGATAGCTTTAGATATGTCCAATCTTACATCCAAAAAACAACAAATTTAGTAGAATTAATAGGAATCGAAGGATACTTCAAACTTGTCCTTGATGACTCTGGACAATGTTTGATGGATTATCTGGGAAATATATTTAACGGATTTGATAAGATTAACTCATTTGATTGGCATAAAATGAAAAATCAAGAAAAATATTACTTGAAATGGCTAGAGGATGATCTGTTCAACTCTAGTGCCTGTAAATTGTTCAACGGAATCGATGATGGAACCGGAAGTCTCACTGTTACCTCACAAGATGTCTCAGAGGGAAAGGGATTTTTAGTGTATTTAAGAGTAGAATTTGAGGAGTCGGTTAGTTATTTTATACAACATGCCCAATCAGTTTCTGGAAATCCCCCAGTACTGGCAATAGAGTAAGTACAGTTTTCAGTTCCAATTCAAAACAATTAGTGTCAGAAAATAACGATAATATCACCTGAGTAGACACAAAGATCTTACAAAGGTGATTTTATCCAAGTCGTTTTCATTAAAAACATTCCTTAAGCAAAGTTGACCTTTAGATGATTTTAGCTGTTCTTTTAAGGTCTTTTTTGGTCATATGGCTCTTTGCGCATTTACGTACTTAAACATTCTTTACTTTGAAACATTTCGCCCTTAACGTTAATCCAGATAGGCGATTCGAACGCTCCAAACTAAATTTATTTTCATTACTCAAGAATTGAAATTTTATTTGAAAAAAAGATTAATTCAGAAAATATCATAAATCTTTATTCAAGTATTGATATATCACGCAAAAAAGGGATGTTGTATTTGTTCTAAACGTTTAAGACCTGATCAAATCAAGCATGATCTAAAGAATAATCAAACCCGTACCGACGCATTGAATTCTGACCTAATGTTACTCTCTCAGACTTCAAATGTACTCTTTTGTAGATGCAGATTAAATTGCATGAAGAAGACAGCTTTGACTTCTATAATGTCGCTCAAATCTTCGTGTCCTTTTTGTACATTTGAACAGCAAAAAGGATTTAAATTTTGGTGGCGAGTCAAAGATTTTGATATCTTCAGTAGAAAATCAACAACAAATGATTACTGGCAATCTTGGATGCTATCTGGTAATATTATAAGCAGAAAAAAAATTTATACATTACATACATGTAGTCACTTCTCACAGGATGAAACTTTGATTAAATCTGTCGGACAGTCATTATTTTTTAGATGATACTTGATTAAATCTATCGGATAGTTACGACTTGTTAGATGACATTTTGATTTAAGCCGTCGGAGGTCACATCTTGTTACATTACACTTTGAGTAAATTTGTCGGGCTGTCCCTTTTTGTAGGATAACACTTTAATTTAGTCTGTCGGACAGTCAATTCTTGTTAGATGACACTTGAATACATCTGTCAGCAGTCACTTCCTGTTAGGTGACACTTTGATTAAATCTTTCGGGCAATCAATTTTTGTTAGATGACACTTTGATTAAATTTTAGACAGTCACTTTCTGTTAGATAACAATTTGAATAAATCTGTCGGACAATTACTTCTTATAGAATGCCACTTTGGTTCAATCTATCGAGCAGTCACATCTGCGAGATAAGCACTGTGATATCTATCTACACTGTTGGACAACCATATATTTCGATAGTTATGATAGTTTCTAATTTAGCTTGATTTAGGTCCAATACGTTTCGATAGATTGTCATATAGCTTGATATCGATTGTGACATCTATGATTGCGAGTTATCACCATATCTTAACTTGTTATCAGCAACATCACGGTTGTCAGTAGCGCAGCAAGACATTATTTCCTTCTGAGTGTATCCCATGTTTTGTGGGCATGTTGATTAATCTTCAGTAAAACGTTTTCTTGATCTTTGTTTTTTTTTTTTCGTTGTTATATGTGTCATTGTTTTATCTGTTGTCCTTAAGTTTTGTTTTTATTGTTCCCTTGGTAACTTTTTTCTCGCAGTTCTTCATGCTCAGTAGTAGTCAAATGATAAAACATACCCATTGGTAGTCAAATAATAAATCTTACTCCTTGGTATTCAAATGATAAATCATGCCCAGTGGAAATCAAATGACAAATCATTCTCAGTAACATTCAAATGTTATTTCACATTCATTCCTACTAATAGACAAATACCGATAGAATAATGTTTATCATTAGCCATGGTTGACGCCAGAGTACGAGTCAAGTGCACTGTCTTGTCTCCTTTGGCTTCTATCTTTGTCATTGCTAATCTCAACCGTAAAATAGAAGCCAAGATTGAAGAACACCAAGTTGCAAATATTTCATTCATAATTAAGATGAGAACAATTTTGTTTGGGGATCTCTGCAAATTGAGTGCAATGAATAAGTCACTTAGAGTCTCCTCTGTGAGTTAATGCAATAATATTTTTCTTGCAAAGGCATTGATCACACAGGGAATGTGATTTAGCGGTTTTATTGCAACCGAACTCTTTGCTTAATTAAATATATACTATCGATAACGTGACATTCATGACTTTATTTACATTCAATTCTGTTTAAAAAATGATTTATAGATCTATCGTAAATTTATCAAATGTAAATGCTTTGTTTTGTGGTAATCTTAGAATTGGAAAGCGATTCATTTGTTATGAAAGCCAACGTTTTGAATGCTAGTGCAGGATACCTTATAGAGGCTCACATGCAGCTTGCAACAGGGGAGACGAGCATTGGTATTTGGGCCGTCAATACAAACATATTACCGTATGGTGGCTCTTGTGAAATGGAGGATGCAAACTGGGGTAAGTTGGCTGAGATTCTTGCTAACAGAATGCATTTTTCTACTTTTAATCGTTCGGCAGATTTGGCTCTACATCATCATTTTATTTATTTTCAATGCTCTTTAACCTTCGTCAATCATTTTTCTTCGAACTGTTTGGTTTTCTGTGTGATAGCATCGAATGACTGGCGTTTAAGATCATGAACCTTGAGTCCTTGTTTTCAAAGGTATCTTAGGGCTAAGACATATCCTAAGATGGTCTTTGAACTTAGTCATTGGTGATGTTTATGAAAGTGACTTAAAACTATTGGATGAATTCGGAAAATTATCGTATAATTAAGGCAATAAAATATATCCTAACGACACTTACCAAAAAATTAATCCGGAATAATGATAAATCTGTTATAAGTTTTTTTTGGAATTTCAACCATAGATGAATCTTCCTTCATTGTATGTGATACGTCATTACATGTCAGTCTTTACAAAGAACTGCTGGGTCTTTCAAGTGCTTCACGAAATCTAAACTATGAACATAAATTTAATCAGCAATCAAATCATATTTTGTATTTTAAAAAAAAACGACTATGACTCAAAAAAAAATAACTATGACACTGATATTATCAAGATGCATAATTTCTTGATTAACATTATATCTGTTACATTTGGGGGACTTTTTTCCGCAAACAATCAACATTCTGACGGGAAACCACTGTTCACCTCCTCTTTTCTACTTGTTACTTTATTCAAAAGAAACAGATTTTATACAGGAGCTTCATACTTCGAACTTGAAATAAAAGATACAACATATACAGTTAAGTCTGCCTCCTTTCTTGACTTACATCTTAAAATGACAAAAGAGATGATTTCAGATTTCCAATAATGAACTTTTCATTTATTTGTAGCATACAAGTATATAAAGTAGAAACTAACTTTGGTTGATTTAAAGTCTTAGACATATCCTACGACGGTCCTATATGATAATCGTAAAGTTTTTCAGCTAAACTAAAAGCGATATAAATATTTACGCCTACACAAAAAAAAAATTAAAACAGAATTTCTATTTTTCTTTCTTGTTTGTTGACTTTTTGTATTTTGTTAAGGGGTTTTTATGGAGAGGGTGTAGTGGAAAGAACCAATTATATCAATTTTACACAATTGTTTAATTATAATCCCATATTTCTATAGAATAAATACGTCGACCTGTATTATTATTAATTAGAACAAACTCACCCCTTCTCGTCCAATGGAAAATCAGTTTTTTCCCTTCTATTTTTCATAATACATGGATTTCCATGCACTATAAAATGCTATACATGAATGACTTGTGATTAATTATGAAAGTGAACTCTAATAGCTACACTAATGAAATGAACAATCCCCTGAGGTAATTTCCATAAGAAAATAGCCTACTGATTAACGTTAAAAGAGAATGGAATTGTAATAAAAAAACATTTTGAACATTGCAAATGTTTATAATAGTACATAGATGGAACAAAACAAAACATTGAATAGGGGCAAAGGTGAAGGTAAAATAATCTTTAATCTTATTTTTATACCAGACCTTAGAGTCAATGTTTTTTTTCAAAGAAAACAATTACTGCTGATATATAAAGCAAAGAAACTTTAAAAAAAAAAAAAAAAAAAACCAATTCATGTACATTCATCAATAAAAAGTAAGTATCTGATATTGAATGATCATAATTTAGATATTTACTGAGTGAGTTTTATGATTATCAAAAAATATACAAATGTCAAAAAGCTGATTTATATAACATTTTGTGCTTTTTATAATCAAGAAATTTAAGATATATAAGTATTAAATTTTACCTGAAGCAGGAAAAATTCAGATGTTTAACAATTTATCCATTTTGTCCTCACAAAACTATCTCAGTGCTATTTTATTTCATCCATTGGAATGACCATTACATATGATATGTATTCCTTTTATTAACTATATTAACGCTTAATTATAAAAAGGGAATTCTTATTAAGGTTTGAATATTACAATAGGAAAGGATAATTTTGTAATGTCACTCGAAAGTGTTAATATGTTCTAAATTGGTCAGAAAATATTTGGTCATGTTTTGTGAACATTTAAAACCATCGACTACGCCTTGGGCTTTAAATATTCATAAAACATGACCACGTATGGTCTAACCTATACACAATGAACATTAATTCATTTAACTTTATTTCAGGACACCTTGTAAGATTTATCTTATAATTCTTTGTGATTTTTTCCATCCACTCTATCTATTCGATGTAATTGCCTTTTCCTCATATCTTTAACTGGATAGATGCTACGATGGCTTTTTAACATCCCTAGGCAAGTTAAACGCATATTCAGGACAAAATATGTTGATTTCATTTAGATATGAACTCTGCTTTGTACTTGACAAACATGATCAGCCTGATTATGTACGCCCTAGTTCACCGGAAGCAGTCCACAGATAGACATATATTACTACTCGAATACATTAATTCTGACTATGGTCCGACTAGTCTTGGTTAAAACGCACATGCTTCAGAAGAAGATGCAAATATCATTTTGCAAGTCTTTGATTTGACTCGGCCGTGAGTCGAGCCCTTGACTTTATGTACTTGAGGCGATGAGCACTCTACCACGAGACCACTAAGTTATGTTACATATAATTAATAAAATGTTCAACTGAATTTGAAAACGAAATACCCCAAACAAACTATTGTCGAGAAATGATTGAAATATTGATTTTAGGTAACAATATTTTTAAATATCCATTCCGTTTTAGGGGAAAAGAAAGTAACAACAAATGGATGGAATGACGAAGGGTTCCGAACCTCAACTGATACCAGTTATGACTGGAAAGAACAGCTGATTTATCGAATAGTTCAGACGAATTCTGAAGGAAAGGAAACACTTCTATATTACGGTTGTAAGTTGCATATACATTAAGTTTGGAATAATGTCGTTATGTTGATGATATGATATATTTTAAGTATTTTAAGTCCTAAATAACTTTCTATACATTGGAATATATTTGCCTTGTTTAAAAGAGGGACAAAAGATACCAGAGGGACAGTCAAACTCATAGATCGAAAACAAACTGACAACGCCATGGCCAAAAATAAAAAGACAAACAGACAAATAATAGAACAGATGACACAACATAGAAAACTAAAGACTAAGCAACACGAACCCCACCAAAACTTGGGGTGATCTCATGTGATCCGGAAGGGTAAGCAGATCCTGCTCCACATGTGGCACCCGTCGTGTTGCTTATGTTATTACAAATCAGGTAAATAGGTCACATTCGTGAAAAGGGAAGGGTATTGTAGCTACGACATAAGGAACATATCCGATATCATCTGTGAAACGGTTATTCCATAACGGTCAACCAACTCGTGATGGCGTCCGTAAAATTTACGAAGGGATGATTTCAACTTCACAATTTGGAACTCTTGGTTTAATAGCTTCCTTGTGAGCAGCAATCCTCTATCAAGGAAATCATGATAGGAAATACAAGCCGGGGAATATCGTATCAATTGGGAGATAATTACTCCGTATGCAGGCGCTGCTGTAATGTTGCTACATAGAAATGGAAAATTCACAATTGGGAAGCTGAAATCATCTCTTTTGTCGTAAAGTTTTGTTTTCAACCGACCCTCATTGTCAATTTCTAGATGTAAGTCAACATAGTCACCAAATTTTGTATTATTTAGTGATAGAATATCATCTATATAGCGGAACGTAAAGATAAAGGATATTGCTAACTTCTTATCTTTCTTCCTATGAAGTTCCTGTATGAAATCAGCCTCATAATAATAAAGAAACAAGTCGGCAAGAAGAGGGGCACAATTGGTTCCCATTGGAATTCCGACAGTCTGTTGAAAAACACGTCCTCCAAACGTAACAAATATGTTGTCAATCAAGAAATCAAAATGTCAAAAATAGGCGTACAGCAGTCAACATTGTGTTATAATCTTAATCACTATAAAAACAAACAAATATGTCAGCAAAGAAAAACAAAATGGCATAAAGACAAAGCACAAAAGCAAAAATGAAAGACAGGAATACAAAAAATGACATCAGCACAACAACACATTGACGGGATGCAGAAGTACCGAGTCAAGCCAAAAGGAAATTATTCCAACATAAACTAGCAATGAATCTTCAGAACTACAAACAAGAGCTTCCTGAAATTCGCTACTAGGTTTTATTGAACATGCTTTAACGTGTAAGCGTTTTCAGATTTCTTTACATTCAACTTCAACTTCATGTTTACAAAATACTTAGAGCGTGAGTATCATAAGTGAGCAAGATGTCACAGTTCTTCCTTTTATTTCAATACTCCGCTTTTATTAATGTTTGAAACAAAACAAGTCATGTACAGTTTTGTTAATCTATATCAAAGCTTATGTTTCCTAAATGTTTGATTACAGTAGAGGAAGAGAATTATATCAAAGTAAAACCTGGTATCGGTACCGATGATTATCATGTTACAATAAAAATACAGATCTATGACATTTTTATTGATCATACAGAATGTACTAAACATATCGGACAGGTATGTACACAGAGCAATACACATAATATGGGACAGGTGTGTATATACAACGATCAACAAACCATCGGACGGGGATTTAGATAAAACAAACATAAAAGTCGGTTAGGTAAAGACACGAAACAATTAACGAAAATATCGAACATTGATGCACACAAGTTACACATAATACAGTACGAAACTTCTTTAATAATACAGTATGAAATACTAAGGCTTTTCTACCTCAGGAATAGATTACCTTAGCTGTATTTGGCAACACTTTTAGGAAATTTGGTCCTCAATGCTCTTCAACATCGTACTTTATTTGGCCTTTTTAACTTTTTTGGATTCGAGCGTCACTGATGAGTATTTTGTAGACGAAACGCGCGTCTGGCGTATATACAAAATTTAGTCCTGGTATCTATGATGAGTTTATTTGCATTTATTACAAGAAACAAAATATCGGACAGAGAGATACATATTTCAGTAAACAAAACATCTGACAGGTATGCACATATAACAATCAACCAAATAAATCGAACAAGTATGAGCACAAATATAAAAAAAATGTCGATCAGAGATGTACATATAAACAAATGCTATCTCAATTAGTTTTACAAAATACTTTACAATTATTGGACTTTTTTTGGGGGGTAGGAGTCTATCGTAGTTTACGGTCTTTACATAAAGAAAATTTATCGGACAATAATGTAGACATGACAATAACAATTTAGATTTATGGTATAATAATCGAATACATCAAATATGAAAAACTATTTGATATCTAGAATTATCTACAATTAAAGACTGAAAATGACAACTTTAGATTTAATTTTATATACATGTACATATACATTTTATTGTCCTATTATTAGAAATTGTTACTTTTGCAATGCCTTGAGATACTACATTTTTCTAGACCAATTTCGTTTTATATTCGAAAAATTAGTTCTACCATACATATAAATACTACTGAGACACGTTATAGGTTCATCCCACTTATACCACATCAGACCAAAAAAGTGTATCGTCATTCTTATATTCCTCGTCTGAAAGTGTGGATTATTACTGGAAAACTGGGAATGTAAAACAAGTGGCCATGAATGCAGAGGTAGCCGGAACACCCGTCACAGATTTGGTATGTTATTTTATCAACGTCAAAATCCATGAGCAATTTATTTCTGTTTTTATAATTTTATTGTAATGATTAGATAGAAAATTTGTCAACAATATAAGTCCTTATACTTTCAGTCTACATCGAAGTTCGGTATTGACTGAAAGTATATGTGTGTAATTTAAGGTATCAAAACTTATCCGATATACTAGAATTATAATTGTGCACGTCTGGAGCTCGAAATGAAACCGTTAGTAGACAAAATTAGTATTCAAAGCTGATAACCAATAAAATACAATATACAAACATACAACAACATCAACATATCTATCCAATAGGTATAATAGACAACAAAAAAAGCTTCCAATACTAAATCTAAAAAATAGTGCCATTTTCTACAAATAGAATTTGTTTCTGTAGAATACAACTACAACAATATTTGATACCGAACCTGCACAATGGGTGAATATTGGTGTTGAAATACTGTCTGATGGTACAAATGTTACAAAAACATTTGATGAATTGTGGAATATGTATTTAAATCCTGATTATGGAGATGTAACAAGCGATATAAAAGAGGTAAATATATTGAGCTGAATAGAACATTGACTTTATTAAATTCAAGTTTTAATATCATGATTTAACTTTTAGTTGCAATATACCTCTTGATAAAATTTGCATTCCGATACTGTTCTTTTAAGAATCCTAATTGTCTACAGATTTAAAAAAAACAATGAGTTGAATCAACCCTAAACAACTTTTTATAACAGCTAATCAATTTTGCAGATTTTTCTAAAACGTGTTTTAGCACGTGTTTAATCGGTAGAATATATTGTAGTTATTTGAAAACTATAATGATAACTTTTGAAAAATAAGCTGAAAAGAAATTAACTTCGTTGCAAAAAAAATGAACACATACAAAAGACAAAACAGTACATAGAGACTAAATATTTAGAAACAAAAACCCTATCGAAAAAACTGGGAGATCTCGGGTGCTCAAAATTGGTAACAGATCCTGCTCCAAAAATGTATTATTTCAAAACGGAAAATTGTATCAAGTGACTGTTAGATGGTAAATTATTGTTAGACTCCGTTTTGTCGATTTGCTTTCTTTAAATCCACGTACACTTTTGATGTTATCCTCACTTTCAGACTTCTTATAGACGTTGTCTCGGAATATTGGCCAATAACTAATGATTTTTAAAAAGGGAACGGTGGTATATGCTAAATGCTAATGAGACAATTTATTTTCTTTTTATTTGGCAGCTGGGTTTGCTATTTTAGGATATGTGCCTTATGTATTAGTTTTGCATATAATGGACATAATCTTTAAATTATGTGTGCATGAAATATTTCTTCCATATAGTATTTCAACTGATTGTTGTTTTTTTTATTTTATTTATTAGTGACATGGTATCTTTCTTGGGCACCTTTTTCATGTGCTTCTTTTTGCAGAAATGATACGCAAGTTTTGAATACAGAGAATTCCTTTTTTGTAAGAGGGGAGGGGGGTATTGATAAAAAACATAGGAAGTAATTTTACTAATCGACATTAAATGAAATAAAAAGCGGTAATACAATCCAATATTGTGAATATTTCAATTTATTACATGTACAAATATCGTTATTTATAAATGTATTTGAATATATAACCCCAATTTATGTAATGTTTTAACTCTAAACTCACATATAAATAGTTTCAGTATAGCTTAGAGATTCTCTGTTTCATTTTAGCAATTGACAACTTTTTCCACGATACTGGCTGAAACATCTTATGTTGTTGATGGAACATCCACTGTGAATTTAGACCAGGTTGCTAATAGTATTGGCACAATTATTGGAAACAAGCGATTCACTGCAAATTCTTCAGCAGTATGTTTCATTTATTGTTCTTAACTAGATAGAAATGAAGCTTAAAACAATCTAAACTCCAAAAAGAACGCGACCGGGTGGTGCATTGCCAGGGCCAGAAAGTTATGCTACATGTATGCATGCCTCACCCGTCATGCGTATCCACACTTATAAAAATAAGAAGATGTGGTATGATTGCCAATGAGACAACTCTCCACAAGAGACCAAATTACACAAAATATAACAACTTAGGTCACCGTACAGCCTTCAACAAATAGCAAAGCCCATACCGCATAGTCAGCTATAAAAGACCCCAAATTGACAATTTAGTCAACATATAACAATCAAGATGACAGCTTCTGTAATTTTTAATTTTCTGGCATCTAAAGATGTACTTGCGATACTACCTGAAGATATAAGGATATAGGTGGTAAGTCTTATTTTATACCTTTAACCACTCCGAACTGCTCATTATTAAGTGAAATAAAACTTACTAATCAAGATGTAAACGTTAGTTATCACTGACCAGTTATATTTCAAATGTTTCTGTAATTGCATGAAGCAAGAAACAAATGGAAAAAATGGAAAAAATGAATTGTTACGATGTATAAAAACAAATACATCAAGTCATTTGGTTAGTAATTTTATTGATATTTGCTTTATAAAAGGAGGTATAAATTTTTCTCTCTGGTATCAAGACACTTTTTACTGCGGAAAAGCAGATTATATTTCCAACAATTTTGAACGTATTCTCAGAATAATTGCTTTCTCTCTTTTGCCTGGCTATACATTTTTTTTCTTTAATAAAATCAGAATAAGGATAGAATAGTATACCCCTATTGAATTACGAGACTGTTCTCTATAGAAAATGCGTATATTTGGTATTTTGAAAGTGTAAAAGATATAGATAAATGTAAAAAAATCACTAACTGGTACAAAGAGAGCTCAAAATCGAAATATACATGTTACATGAAAAACGGACATCATAGTACGATTTCCAATACGTTACGATCTATTACGTTTTTAACAATCCTACATGTGAGTGACTTTTTTAGTGCAAATACATCAAGTCATTTGGTTAGTAATTTATTTATATTTGCTTTATAAAAGGAGATATAAATTTTTCTCTCTGGTATCAAGACACTTTTTACTGCGGAAAAGCAGATTATATTTCCAACAATTTTAAACGTATTCTCAGAATAATTGCTTTCTCTCTTTTGCCTGGCTATACATTTTTTTCTTTAATAAAATCAGAATAAGGATAGAATATTATACCCCTATTAAATTACGAGACTGTTCTCTATAGAAAATACGTATATTTGGTAATTTGAAAGTGTAAAAGATATAGATAAATGTAAAAAAATCACTAACTGGCACAAAGATAGCTCAAAATCGAAATATACATGTAACATGAAAAACGGACATCATAGTACGATTTCCAATACGTTACGATCTATAACGTTTTTAATAATCCTACATGTGAGTGACTTTTTTAGTGTTATGATGAGTTTGCAATCATCAAATGTATCTCATATACTGTACCTTTATTGTAGCAATAAATTAACAAAACTTTACATATTGTTTTTCGAAGGTTAAACAGTGCGTTAACGAATTTTTCTGGTATTTCAGTCTAAAATGAACGAAGGAAAAGATTGTTTCTGCCTAAAACCTTTAAAGACCATTAAGAAGGAAACTTGTGCAGTATAACCCCACTTGACAACAACACACGGTCACTATCAAATGAATTAAATGTTTTAACAAACTGTAGTTTGTATTTTGATTCGGGTAAAAAATTATCTTACACAGGTGATTGTATGCCAAGAAGCACATTTTATTGGAAATTGATAGACATATCGTTCTGAAAAGAAATAACTTTATATATGTATACAAATAATGTATAAACACATTAATTATAAGCTATGAACATCAGGCAGTTCGTGTATTTTTCTAAGTAGGTTTGAAATCTTTTTTTAAATATACTCTACTGTGGGTTAGCCGTTTCGTTAGCAGTCCTCATCCTATAGGTGTACGTCTGTTTGTTATATTGATGGTTACGAATCAGAATAGTAACTGTAGCTTGAATTCATTGTTACATGTAATTCATTCTGTTGGTGTGTCATTTATATGCAAGAGTGATACCCCTTTGTACTATGTTCCAATTCAAACAAGTCTGGCGAATGGATTGATATCTTCATTATGTAAACTGTAGCTGTATGGCGTATAATTGTTTCACATCTCATTGAACTGTCTTCATCTCACTAGATAATTTCTGCCAAATGTTTGTGTTTCAAGTTTTACTTTCAGCTTTAAAATGCTACTTAAATATATATTTTAAGTTCAATGATCTCTGGTTATAAAAAAAGAAGTGGAAGATACCAAATGGAATTTCAAAACTCAAAAGCTCAAATAAAAAAGAAAGACGACAAACAATACAAACAAGTTCACTTCACGTTACACTATACACATTGAATGCTGTTTTGTTTTAATTTATACAAAACATAAGAAATTGATAATCGCATTTTTTTTTCAAGAAGCCCTTCTGCACCTGTTAAACCCGTTCGGAGAGATGATGTTTACAGTTTTAGTCTAAAGAATAAATAATCAATAGTTTTTACTAATAACGTTACGTGATGTTTGTGCCTTTTTAATTCTCGAAAATATAGTTATTCTTTATTATGATTATAGTTTGTTATTATTTGTACATTTTCCAGTCCAAGGCATTTGAAGGAAATAAAGGTCTGTTGGAAAAACTTGTAAAATTGACAAGTAATGAGACATATCCAAAGTATGAAGACTACATTTCTACGTGTCAAGGTAATGTCTTAAAACTATACAAGATGTATGATAATTAGATAACAATAATACCAAACTCCAAGGGAAATCCAAAACGGAAAGTCCTTTAAAAAATAGACAAAGCACATAAGCAAAAATGTAGGACAAGAATTCAAAAATTATGTTTCCAGTACTTATACAAATACAATATATCCTCAAATAAAAATATAAAACTTGCTTTGTTTTTTTCTCAACGTCAAATAGCAAAACTTTCCTCACTCCAACCACATCTCTCAATTTCATTAACTATGCTGACAAATAATATTATTTCAGGTATGTTAAGGGTCTTGAACAATGCTTTGGAAGCCATATTACCCAAGACATCAGTGGATACACCAATAACATTAGATATATATACAATATTGTCGGATATATCTAGCAGACAGGAGTTATCTGAACCAAACAAGGCTGATCTTACTCCTGCAGAAAGAGCTTTCATTGCTTCACAGATTGCTATGAAGAATGAACTGGATGCGGATATAAAAAATGATGTTGTAAGTAAAGTTCACAATTATAGCTGATTTACTTTATACAGTTTAGATGTAATACAATGTGCTATACAAGAAATTGACCACCGGCTCAAAGTATCATACAGTATAGTTTAAAAATCATTATTACAATTTAAGTTCATTTATAGGATACTTGACTGACACATTTCAGCTATTCACAATGGTTAAACACATTTCAAAAAAAAAAGAAATTTCGTAAAAAAATATAACATATTCGTTAAGTTTTGGAGGACGTGTTTTTCAACAAACAATCGGCATTCCTATTTGAACTAACCTTTCTCCTTTTCTAATCGACTTGTTTCTTTATTCATATGAGGCAGACTCATACTCCTTCTTATCTTTTTAAATATGATATATTAAAGGACAATCCCTCTGGTCTGGAATGTTTAGTCTATTTACATGAGCTTTTAAAGTTAAATATATTTAATTTGTATTCTATGCTGAACAAGTTCTATATGTAGGTAAAAAACGAGGTTCAAATACTATTGGATAGTATTTCCGACTTAGGCCACGTGCTTCAGATGTTGAACTTTCGTAAACAGATGCCTGTTTACGTTCAAAATGGACACATTAATTCCACTGAGGACAAGAAACTGATTGGAGAGCTGATTCAGAAAGGGTTTCAAAACAATGAAGTAGATTTAAGTTTTGTAGAATCAAATTCCCAGTCTACACAAGAACAAGCCATACAGGTACAAGGAATAATAAGAGATTTTTAACATTAATTGTTATGATTGGTCAATACTATATATCAAAACAAAGGAAAGGAAAACGTGGAAAAAATATTCATCGTAATTGTGTTTTCACATATTTTTCAATTCTGTAATTTCTGTTAATGATGTTAACAACCTGTTTGAATTCTATGATATTTAAAGCTTGATGCAAGGTATCGATACATCTCTACTATATGAAACATTGTAAAGAGATCTCCCATTGTTATTCGTTGATAATAATATTAACAAAACCAATCAAGGATAACACATAAATAGGAAATAGCTGCAGTAGATGCAGTTATTTCCTTTTTTGCGTTACCTTTATGTCCACGAATTAATATGCATCACATGAATGTCTTACCAACTTTTCGATATAACTAATGATGGTAATTTTTCTTAAAGGTAACATTATATGACCACACACCATTTTCGTGGGATGATGAGTCCAAGTTCATATCATCTAAGACGGTAACTGTGTCAGTGGGAGAAGGCAATACAACAAACTCAGCAATACTATCAAAAATCAAACTCCAAAATACTGGTTTAGTACCAAAAAGAAAAACTATCAAAATAGCCATTCCAGTAGATAAAAACGAAACCACTTCACAGATGCTGATGTATAAAATGTACTGGAAGACACCTGCAGATAATTTGATAATCAGTATAAATAACGCCATGGACCACCTTAATCACACTATTTACATTCGGAAGAAAGAACATCCAACGGAAGACGAATATGACTGGATGAAAATAACACAATCCAGTGACTGGTTGAGGACCAGCGAAATTAAAGTAATACTGGACGGTGGACTATACACAGCCCCAGCTAATGTGTATATTGGAGTCCTTGTTCAAAAAGGTATATCTATTTAACTTGAGGGAAGACGGGAAAAAAACTCAAACACACAAAATAGTTTGCATTTATTGGTAATTACTGAGGTTATTTAGGTCATTTCTTGTTTTCATACGACTAATATGAATGTTATTACCTCATTAAAACCCAATGAAAACTAACGAAAACACACAAAAAATGAATATAACTGTTGAAATGAAGAGTACTGCAGAAATATTGTAATATGCAAACAAAGCTTCTTTTGTCAAATGTCTTATCGTTTGTAGTTGTAAATCTTATTTTTTTTTCTGTTCTATTCGTGTGTTACGGTAAAGATAATTAATCACCCAGTTCATTTATAAGATTTTAGTTTGGGTCAACTAATTTATACGATGTATTTGGTTTACAGTTTGATTTAGAAGAAATACCGACATAGCTTGATGATACAATTAATTATCTAATTACTACCACAATTGTATATTAATAGGTATCGTAATTTTCATTGTTATTAATACATGTTATATCAGTATTACAAACCTAATCTTTAACTCTATCCTATTTTTTGGAAATTTATAGAAATTTATATGTGACGTCACATTGTGCGTCGATCTCTTCGGCTAACATTTAATACGTTGTTCGGCTGTGTTTTTTTTTATGTGCTGATTTAGGTTGTTCTACGTATTCGTTTTTATTCTGTAGTTCGTCACCACTTCGGTGTTAACATGTATATCTATTATATAGTAATTTTTTTTAAATTTACTGTTTGCAAAAGTATGCATTATTATAAATACTAAGGATTTTCTTATCCCAGACATATAATCTTAACCGTATTTGGCACAACTTTTTGGAATTTTTGGTCCTCAATGCTCTTCGACTTTGTACTTGTTTTGGCTTTCGAACTTTTTTGATTTAAGCGTCACTGATGGGTCTTATGTAGACGAAACGAGTTTCTGGCGTATAAAATTATAAGCCTGGTACCTTTTGAAAGCTAGTATTAGTGTGTGTCTCTGTCCTGTATGTTCTCCCATTGATTTGTATTGTAGTCCTGTCATGTATTCTTGTCATCTTAATGTTATATTTAACATTGCAATAAAAACGGGAGGTTTGGCTAGCCACAAAACCAGGTTCAGCCCACCATTTTTTCTTAAAATGTCCTGTACCAAGTCAGGAAAATGGCCATTGTTATATTATAGTTCGTTTCTGTGTGTGTTGCATTTTAGTGTTGTGGTTCTGTTGTGTCGTTGTTCTCCTCTTATATTTATTGTGTTTCCCTCAGTTTTAGTTTGTAACCCGGATTTGTTTTTTTTCTCAATCGATTTATGAATTTCAAATAGCGGTATACTCCTGTTGCCTTTATTTTTTGCTCATACTGTCGAAGCCCGTATGTGTATGTGTGGTTATATACTTCTACGACATTTGTCTCTGTTGGATAGTTGTCTCATTGGCAATCATACATCTTTTTTATGTTCAGATTAATAACTGTATTAAAAAACTCATAATAACATAATGTGTACAAGACCGAGCAGATCAAAGTGTGTACAAAAAACACATACTTTGAATAGATATTGTTTTATCAAATTTATATCACTTATATTTTTTTTCTTTATCGTTGTTTGCTTTATAACATAATAATGCTGGTTTTTGTAATGGCAGAAACATCTTCCGCCCCTACATTAAGCAGGCGAAAAAGGTCATTGAGTACTACTATTGTTGAATATGAAATTCTTGGTGCTACGGTTGGTTGTAGAGTATGGGATACTGCAAAGGAGAAATGGGACAAAAGTTCATGTCAGGTATGATTATAGTGAACCCTTTTTCTTTTATGATTGATGTCGTCCTAATTTAATTGGGTATTCATTCCATTATATAGTTATTCCCTATTGGTTGGACTCTAACCTTATGCCCTGGTTGCTTCCGATAGGGTCTATTAAAAAATGCGTATCGAAACGACTTTTTGACTTTTTTTTTTAAGTCGATATATTTTATAGACAGAGAGGTTACTCTTCCTTCAGCGGGTCTTTTGTTGTATATCATTACGGTTGACGTGCACGTATGTCATGACTATGTAACTTTCAAATATATACAAAAAGCCATAGTGATTATTTTTTGTCGCAGACATGATGGATTGTTCTTTGTACAATCTTATTTTTAAAGATCACGACAATTGTCTGAAGCTTGATAATACTCGTAGTGTTTATTAATGGTGCTTTATACACCCACGTTTTCTGTTATTTAGCTTTCTGCTGCATCAACCATCAATGAGACTGTTTGTGAATGTTTCAGTCCACCCGGAAACAGTTTTGCCACAACTTTCTACGTGCCTCCAAACACAATCGATTTTGGAAGTGTTTTTGAAAAGTTTGATTTGAAAAACAATGCAGCGGTGTTTGCAACAGTTGTATCACTGGTACTGTTGTATATTTTGTTATGCGTATGGGCATTCAGACAGGACAGAAAGGATCATACAAAGGTAATATAATTGGCTTGTTTATAAAACTTTTGAAGATTATGTGTAATTGGCAGTATTCAAATTTTTTAAGTTAATGATAGCAATAGGTTCAAGGAAATAAAGTCAAATACAGTGAATAGCAAAACATATAAACCTAGATAAAACAAAGCTTATCTTTTCATTTCCAGAGACAATTATAACTGATGTTTATTAACATTGCCTTTTATAAATTACAACACAGCAACAATAAAAGTAACAACGTAACGTCTGTTTCCTTCGTTTGGGAAAAACGGTGAGCATATAACCGTATTGCAAGCTTTACCATCAATCCAATGCATAACACGTATATAAACATAATATACAGTTAGGTATAGTGTCTAAGGTAGCACATTCGATGCTGACAGCATGCATACGACAAAACTACATTTTTTATGTGTAAAGAGATGTCAGGAATCGAAACGGTATTTGAAAAGCTATACAATTTACCTCAATTCAGGATAGACTCTTGAATTTTGAGGAGTCAAAATAGGATGAACGGATCATATAAACCCGAAGGCAAATATAATAGAAGCCAAAACGAAAACATATAAACAAGTTTAAATTAAAAACAACGTTCAAACCTATGATTGCATTGAATAAAAACCGCAATTTTTATACGTGTGCATGTAAAACAAATTTCTTGGTAGAGGGGTCTACATACAGCACAAACAATATTTTCCAAAAGACCAAAAAAGTGAAAAAGTATATTTAAACAAAACGCAAGTGACTAACAGGTCGAACAACGGATGTTCTTAAACCCTGCTGACTGCCATTGGCGATTGCCAAATAAACGGATCATAAGATGTACCAAAATGTTGCTTTATTATTAATTCAATACCAAACAGAAAACAATAAACTTGCGGAAAAGATAGTATACCGCAAACAAAAGGTGCAAAGGTTTTTGTACACCGTATCCAAATTTCGACAATTAATGTCTCTTCAGTGATGTTAGGAATCGAAACGGTATTTGGAAAGCCATACAATTTACCTCAATTTAGGATAGATTCTTGTATTTTGAGGAGTAAAAATAGGATGAACGGATCATATAAACCCGAAGGCAAATATAATACAAGCCAAAACGAAAAAATATAAACAAGTCTAAATTAAAAACAACGTTCAAACCTATGACTGCGTTGGATAAAAACCGCAATTTTTATACGCGTGCATGCAAAACAAATTTCTTGTTAGAGGGGTCTAAATACAGCACAAACAACATTTTCCAAAAGACCAAAAAAGTGAAAAAGTATATTTAAACAAAACGCATTTGACTAACAGGTCGAACAACGGATGTTCTTAAACCCTACTGACTGCCATTAGCGATTGCCAAATAAACGGATCACAAGATGTAACAAAATGGATCTTTATTAATAATTTAATACCAAACAGAAAACAATAAACTTGCGGAAAAGATGGTATACCGCAAACATGAGGTCAAAAATTTGTACACCATATCCGGATTTCGACAATTAATGTATATAAACAATATATATGAATAAAAAGAGACGTGGTCATAAGTCAATGAGACATTTATTCAACAACAATTAAAACTTACAGCTGCATGAAATCCCCAAGGGTGACTAGGGAATAGAAATATGGTCACTCTTGTCTTCTTCAGACCGGCAGTAAAACCCTCGCCGATGTGGGGCTTCCGTTTGGCTGTACGGGATGTATCAAGTACACAGCCACGTCCTGTCAGAATGTTGACGTTAAATCCGATGCTTCGTGTAGAGAAAGTGACACGCTCTCTGCACGTTAAGTACCCTTGCAACAACTCTTTGAGGGGTCCGAAGTTGGCCTGTTGCAAGGCAAAATTTCTGTCTCTATCAAATATATCCTTATTTTCTATTGGCAGTCCGAATTTCCCCTACCTTCATTCCGGACGGCCTCTATTACAGGACCTACGTATAGTAATTATTGTTAATTTGTTACCGTCCTGAACATGCATGACATATTTGCCACTGGACGTAGAGCAACCAACAATCAATTAATCAACATATATAACGGTATATCTATTAAAAAGAAACAATTGTGTGGCTTCTTTATTGAAAGTGAAAAAAAAATCAACATTACCCTTATCATAACTGAAGTTTTAATGTAAATCTTACAGTGGGCGTTATCATATCTGAGTGACAATGGACCTTACGATGATTACTTGTACATTCTAACGGTGTTCACAGGACTACACAGAAATGCAGGAACAAAATCTAGAATAGGTTTCATGATAATTGATGGCACACCAAAGAAAAGCAAATTTTATGAACCAGATATACGAATATTAGATGATGAAACACATCGAGTGAGTATATATATGCTTATAGTATAAAAAAAAAAAGTTTTTATGATTTATATTTAGGATACAAAAAAAGAACTGGAACTTATTGAGTAATTCTCTGACTTCTCTTTTTTAAATACAGTTAATATAAAAACAACATGTGGTATGATTGCCTGTATAAACTATCCACAAGAAAACAAACAAAGGATAACAATATTAAGAATTACAGTTCATTTCACGATCTAAAAAATTGAAACGATATATTACGATACAAATGTCCAAGGAAAAAGTAGAGGGTATATTTCATTATCCGTTGATCTGAAGTAGAAAGCACGGATCCATAATTAACACGAGTCATAAAAGTTATGATAAAATAGCGCAGCATGAATTTGGTATAATGAAAATTAAATTTTAGAGTTACATACATTTGCGTAGTAAGATGGATTTAATACATATGTTCAAATATACGACAAACAAACACACATTTATTACAAAACATGTAAAACAGTACATGTATACGAACGAATTTTAAAATGAAACATGTTTTGTGCATTTTTTTTTTTTTTTTTTTGTATCAAATCATGATTTATCTTCATAGATATTATATACATGCTTTATATACTTGTTCTGATTATAAAAATTCAATACATGACTTACTTAGATAATTGGACCGCCGGGTTTAAACGTCGTGAGAAATCTTATCGCTAGATTTTAAACCCATCCGTGATTTGTTTTAGGTTTTTCTGTGTTAAACATTCTTTGAATCCATACCTACACTTTACTTAAGGCAACACTTTGTCAAAATGTCACAATCGGGAACAAGACACAATTGGTCTAATCACATATCATACGACCTTAATGTATCCATAGATTTTAAACCGTAGAAAATCATGAATTAGTAAAATTAGTAGCGTTTCCGTATTGCCTAGACTTAACAATGCAAATCTGAATTATATGCCATCCAAATGTTGCAGGCATGATTATTTAACTTATGTGTTGTTTTGAAGAACATATGTTGGTTATATGTCAATGAGATAACAACCCAACAACAATGAAATAAGACATCTAGAGGGCAGTATACAGCCACCAACAATGGACATATATCTATACAATGTTGCTAGACTTTAGCCGTCCGTAGTCTATAAAGTTTGTTAACAAAATTTAATTGTAGCAATGCAAAGATCTGCCATGATCATTGCAATTTTTTTCAAATGATAGGGAAAAAAGTGAAATTCTACACAAGACAACGATTGACAGTGCTTCTGAACTCGGACAGGGAAATTACTATTTGACGGGATTAACCAAGTTGTTATGCTTATATAATAGGGTTTTGATGTTGGTAGCATCCGGAAATTTGTCATGAGCGTTCCTAAACCAATAAATGACCCAACAGTATTAAAAATTTGGCATGATAATAGTGGACAAGGAAATACGGCATCATGGTATCTTAATAAAATCATACTGGAGGATGTACAAACTGGTGGAAGGTAAAGCTTGCAAACTTTATGTTGTCTCCTTAAATGATTAATAAGCTACATAGAAACATATTCTGTTTTTGTTCTCTTTTGTAGTGATATGGTGAAGAAGGAATGAAAGAGACAATTTGTGGCCCATGAAAGTTTCACAATAGTAAAATTATTCAAACCTTTCAAAATTTTGTTGATTTTAATGAATGACTATGTTTGTAATAAATTAATAATTTACGCGCACACATTTTGCATGTGATGTCACTATGAGGTCATAAGCATGTCGAAGATAACATATTTGGCCTAAAATAGTTTAATATCTGAATGATTCTATTTGGTAGATTATTGATGCTTTATAATTTCAAATTAAAGTTGCCGAATATAGCCTTATCATCCTTCCTCTTTTTTATTGACAGGTATATGTTTTTATGTGATCAATGGTTGTCTTTGGACTATGATGATGGCTGCATTGATTGTGCCATTCCTGTTTCAGATGAATTGGATAAACACAAATTCTCATTTTTATTTAATGAAAAAACTAGGCAAAATACAACAGACAATCACTTATGGCTATCGGTTGCAATTCGACCTGAAGACAGTAACTTTACAAGGATAGAACGACTGGCTTGTTGTTTGACATTGTTGTTTCTTACTATGATCTCAAACGCAATGTTTTATGGACAAAGTACCGGAAGTCGCTTTTCAATTGGACCTATCACATTATCACTTTCTGTGATATACATTTCACTTATCAGTGCAATAATTGCTGCACCTCCAATATTCTTAGTAACTTATATGTTCAGAAGTTCGAGACCTCATCCAACAAATGAGAAGAAACATTTAACAAATACTAAAGCAAATCATGAAAGGACACTTAAATCCAAGACCGATGAGGAAAACAATCCCAACGCAGATGTAACAGACGACCCTCAATTTTCACTTCCGTTTTGGTGTAGATATGTTGCATGGGGAATTGTTACATTAGCCGTTTTTGTATCCGGATTTTTTCTAATTCTTTATAGCATGGAATGGGGACAGACGAAGTCAGAGGAATGGCTTCTATGTTTCTTTATGTCATTCATCGAATCAATGCTCCTCGTTGATCCACTCAAGGTAAGAAAATCCAGGTTTCGCTATACATATAAAATAATCAGCCAAACTTCTTATAACAGTGTTAGGGCGTTATAAAAAAAAATTAAATTGCAGTAATTCCGAATACATTTATGGCCCCAGTTCCCATGTTATAACAGGATACCTTAACATTGTGTGTGACCGAGAGTTGAAATCATTTCTCAGTAAAGGACCAAAATATCGTCCCCCGTCAATTATTAATTGGAGTGAGTGTCGTAACATCATCCACGACTCACTCCGTACTAACTGCTCTAAATGGATAAAACAAGAAAAAACTGACAAGAAATCATTAGATTCTTTTTTAATTCGGTTATGAACATAGTTGATATACGTATTCAACATTTCAAAGATCATTTTACTCCTAACAACAAACATAATAGCCAAATTTCTAGTATCAAACATAAGCTAAAAGAACTCGCCAAGGAATATGTTTTTGTCCTGGCTGATAAGGCTGCTAACAATATCATTATTGTTTGACGTAAATTTTACATTGAAGTTCTACAAAAGGAAATCACGAATTTACCAACACTCCAACGGATTCCATTTTCGGAAAATGAAATCTGTAACAAACATAAACTTTTAGCTAGCTCTTGACAAGCAGAACCAAATGCAATGAAAGTTCCAACAATGTACTGGCTTCCGAAGCTGCACAAAACTCCTTACAAATATAGATTTTTTTCGTCTTCAAGCCATTGTTCCACTACTAAACTATCTATTATACTTACTAGTACACTTGGTACAATAAAAAACCTGGTGATTAATTGTTCAAATAAGGCCTTTGAAATTAGTGGAATTAATTACTTTTGGGGTGTCAAAAATTCGTTGGAAGCACTTGATAAATTGCATGCTTATATTGGTGATTTCGAATCTGTTCAAAGTTTTGATTTTTCTACCCTTTAAACCACTTTGCCTCATAATCTTATTAAGAAAAAATTCACACACCTGATTAAATGGGCATTTAAAAAGTCGGAATAAGAATACATATGTTCAAACTCTTTTAGGTCATTTTTTTGGTTACAACAAACGAAAGAACTATGTCAATTGGACCTGCTTTGATACTATAACTGCCCTTGAATATTACTAGATAACATTTTTGTTCGCTATGGAGATTCCATATATCGTCAGGTTTTCGGGATTCCCATGGGGACTAACTTTGCACCTCTTATTGCGGACCTGTCTCTGTATTGTTATGAGTTACAATTTATGACTAAAATCAGCAAAGACCCATCGAAACAACATCTGATTCAAAAATCTAATAACACTTTTAGATATTTAGATGATTTATTTGCTCTCAATGATGACGACCTCAGTATGTACACTAAAGAGATTTATCCTGCCGAACTGACTCTAAATAAAGCTAGTACTAACAATGAACACTGCCCTTTCCTGGATCTTGATATCTATATCTTTAATGGGAAGCTTTATACCAAAATTTATGATAAAAGAGATGATTTGTCATTTCCTATTGTTAATTATCAATTTTTAGATGGTGACGTTCCTTTATCACCATCTTATGGTGTTTATATATCTCAACTTGTTCAATTCGCTCGTGTGTGCAACAATGTATTTGATTTCAACGAAAGAAATCTCTGTATTACTGAAAAATTATTACACCAGGGTTTTCGATATCACAAACTAGTCAAAACATTTACTAAATTTTATCATCGGTACAAGGACATCATTCGTAAATATAAATCAACATGCAGACAGATTGGGTATTTCACATCCAATATTTTATGTTGATATTCTTTACAAAGCACAAAAATGTCGGCATTCACCTCAAAAGCTAACCAAACCTTTAAACAGACTTATTTGGAAAGGATATAGTTACGATACTGTTGTCAAGTCATTACGGATTGCATATTTTGGTATTAATATTGGTTCACTCATAGGGTCTTTGCATCGGAAATAAACACATTTATTCTAAAACCAGTTATTGACATGATACGGGTTATGTTCTTCTCATATATTTTATGATGGTATGATACTAAACCCCTTACGGGAGGGATTGTACTTGATTTTCATATGATGAAGACATAATCTTTCAATAAGTTTAATTGAGGTCTGGAGCTGGCATGTCAGTAGCTGCAAGTAGTCCTTTGTTCATTTATGTATCATTGTCATTTTGCTTAGTTTCTTTTGTTTCCTATTCTGACATTGGACTCGGACTTCCTTTGAACTGAGTTTTACTGTGCGTATTTCTATGTGTTTCTTTATTCTACATTGGCTAGAGGTATAGAGGGAGGGTTGAGATCTCACAAAACATGTTTAACCCCGCCGCATTTTTGCGCCTGTCCTAAGTCAGGAGCCTCTGGCCTTTGTTAGTGTTGAATGTTTTTTTTAATTTTGGTTCATTTATATGTTTTGGAGTTTAGTGTGATGTCCATTTTCACTGAACTAGTACAAAATTTTATTTAGGGGCCAGCTGAGGACCACCTCCGGGTGCGGGATTTTCTCGCTGCGTTGAAGATCCATTGGTGGCCTTCGGCTAATGTCTGCCCTTTGATTGGGTTGTTGTCTCTTTGACATATTCCCAATTTCCATTCTCAATTTTAATATCTAAAGCTATAAAAATGAAATATACGTCGCAAGTAACACTTCAAGTAAGTTGAAAACAAATAGTTAATGCATACAATAATCAACATATATGTTGTATGACATATATTTTTTAAATGTAAAATGTCAAACAAAGCATCTTATTGTCAGTTAAAAGTATGCTTTGATATAAATTTTTAATGACGTTCCAAATTGGTTTGGTAAAACATAAAATGAATTTATTTTTCAAAATTTCCGTTCTTTGAACTTTGAGATGGATTGTACTGTACATTATGTATAATAGCATTATTCAATGAAATTCCTTATATTACACACAGACAGATACTGTTATTATGATTCATGAATTGATATATTGATTTTGATTATAATTGTGGGTCTCACAACAGTTTTCATATTTGAAATAAACACTTGTTAGACGTTTAATCACAACCGACTTTTAAGATTAGTATGTTTCAACTCCCTCGGCAAAATTGACCTTGAATGGATTTTGCTATTATGTTTATGTCCTTTTTTTGTAATCTATCTCTTCAACTGTCTCGATTCTTAAACATCCTTGGCTTTCAAATATTCGGCTTTGTTCGTTCATGATGAACGTTAATCCAGAAAAGCACTTCGACCGCATGAAAGTATGAAGTGTTATTTTCATTTTTTTATTAATATACTTTGATAGGTGACAACTCCTTGTTTCATTAGAATAATACAATTTATTAGATATGTACAAGTATATTTAAATTATTATTCTTACGCTGCATTTTCGAAGTATCATATAAAAAAAATGTTCATTGTTGCAAACATTGCAATCACAAGTTTTCTTTTCACAGTTCTATCTTTCATTGTTTCAAGTGAATTCAATTCAACAGATTATTACAAATCTATCGATTATTTCGTTTACATTCCCAATGGGACAGGCAGTACAATACACTAAATATGTATAACCTTATTTAGCATTAGCAAATATTCTCTATAACGCTTTTTTCAAATACCGTCGTCCTTTAAACAAAAAAAAAGAGGCGAAAGATACCAGAGGCACATTCGAACTCATAAGTCGAAAATAAACTGACAATGTCGTAGCTAAAAAAAGAAAAAGACAAACAGACAAACAGACAAACAATAGTACACAAAACACAACATAGAAAACTAACGACTGAGCAAAACGAACCCCACCAAAAACTAGGAGTGATCTCAGGTTCTCCGGAAGTGTAAGCAGATACTGCTCTACGTGTGGCACCCGTCGTGTAAGTACAAACCCGGTTTATAAGTCTAATTTGGTAGGTCATATTCGGGGAAAGGGGACAGGATTGTAGTTACGACATTAGGAACATATCCGCTATCATCTGTGAAACGGATATTCCATTGTGGTCAACCAACTCATGATGGCGTCCATAAAATTTACGAAGGGATGATTTCAACTTCACCAATTCGAACTCTTGATTTAAAGCTTCCTTGTGAGCAGCAACCCTCTATCAAGGAAATCATGATAGAAAATACAAGCACTGGAGTATCGTATCAACTGGAAGATATATACTCCGTATGCAGGCACTGCTGGTTGTTTTCAACCGACCCTCATTGTCAATTTCTAGATGTAAGTCAAGATATGAGGCAGACTTAACTGTATTTGTTGTATCCTTTATCTCAAGTTCGGTAGGATAGATGCGTTCTGCATAGTCACCAAATTTTGAATTATTTAGTGAGAGAACATCATCTATATAGCGGAAAGTAAAGTTAAAGGATACTGCTAACTTCTTTTCTTTCTTCGTAACAAGTTTCTGTATTAAGTCAGCCTCATATGAAAAAAGGAACAAGTTGGCAAGAAGAGGGCACAGTTTGGTCCCATGAGAATGCCGATTGTTTGATCCAAACGTAACAAATATATTGTCAATTAAGAAATCAAGCATCTTGATAATGTCAGTTTCAGAGAATTTTTTGTTTGAATCAAAGTGATTTTTTACAAAGTAGGATTTATCCTTCTCTAAGACAAGATACTTGTATCTACGTTGGCCATTCTTTTTTATGAAACAAAACAGGACCAACTCTTTCTATTTGTCTTTTAGTTTGGAAAGGGGAATACTTGTGTAAAGTGTAGAACAGTCAAATGTTTTAATTCTATTGCAAGATGAAAGAGTCTTAGATTGTATGTACTCTAAAAGATCTTTGGATTTTTTTTGGTATCCACATTTGATTCACGCCATCTCTAGAATAGGTAGTTTCAAAATAACATTGAAGGCCGACTTTGATTGCTGATAAAATTGATGTCAATAATTTAGAAAGAGGTTTCGTGGAGCACTTGGAATACCCAGCAATATACCGTTGTTTGTAAGGATAATTATGTAGTTTAGGTATCCAATAAAGTGATGGAAGATACAGTTCTTCATCTTTGGTTGAAAATCCAAAGGAATATAGAACAGAACTATAATTATCCAGGATTTCCTCTTTAGTAAGTGTCGTGGGGGTATATGTTGAGTTTCCAAGTGAATTGTCAATACCTAATTCATTTATCAAGTAGTGTATGTAATGTGATTTCCACACAGAAACGATATTGTTTGAGGCTTTATCTGCGGGGACAACAACATATTTGTCATGGAGGTAGGACAAGTGTTTTGCAACATTTGGGTCTTTAAAGATTGATGTATCTTGGGTATTAATAGACCCATTCAGTTTCTTAATTCTGATTTGTATCAACAACTTCACAGCCTTAATCCATTCGTAAAGAGTATCAACGTCTTCTTTCTCGCGTTTAACCCATTGCCTGGCATAATCCTCGACTGAATCCATCAGTATTTTGAAGTTGTGTTTCCAATTGATGGATTAAGGCTCACGATATTTCGGGCTTTTTGATAACCTGTTTCGCAGAGAAGGTTTTTTTTGACAATGTTCAGGTCACCGGTAATAACGTGGCCAGCCAGATTATATATGAATGCGAAACTAGCACAGGTGCAATCAAGAGGTTTAGACTTGACGTCGTCAATATCGAGATCCTGCAACACGTGTTTGTAATTCAAAATTTGAGTAGCAATTGGTTTGGTATAGGTGTAAGAAATGATAAGTACAGACTGATCTTTAAAATAGGTAGGTATTTTCGAGTGAACTGATTTATGATGAAGGATATTGCCCAAGTTTATGACGTCGAGACCTTTGTTAGGAAAGGAAAGTTTAAGAAAGGATCTTTCCTCCTTTTCATCTTTTCCAATGCGAACTTGTTTGAAAAGTCTGTGACTTGCAATATCCGAAATGATAGCTGTAAGTTTGTATTGGTTTGAATGAGGGTTTGTAACAGTGGGTTTCCAAACATAAATTGTACAAAGAATGAAGTTTTGAAAAAGGTAAATGAATAAAGCTTTGTGCGAATGTGATGATGGCTTTTGTATAAATGGCAGGAGGTCATTAGTAGAGACATCATGGAGAGTAGGTGATGTATAATGACGATGACCATGACTGCGTCTACGTCGAGGAGTAGGGTTGAAAATGTTCATGACATTCACCGTGCTACATTAGATGGACTAGATAGAATACCTATACCATCAATCTTGTCATTGCAACCATATGGTGTCGCACTTCCCAATTGTCTAATCCAGTAGTTTTCCTTTTGTCTACGGAGAGGTGTTGCAAGATGAGGATTGTTAGTCCTGTAGTTTTTTTTTTTTCGATGATGCGAACTTGCATAGAAAGAATTGAATGATCAGGCTGGTTAAAATGCTGGTAAACAATTTCGCTTGCACTGTTGTTGATGTCTGAACTATGGCCGCACCTACGTTTATTTAGCCTTCTCTTCGTTTCACCAACGTATACCAATCCGCAAAGGTTACACTCTAACCCGTAGACGACATTTTGTTGATTTACAATTCAGATCATTGTAACTTCTGGTAAAATAAGACTTTTTAGTTAAATTGCTAGTGAATTGAACACCTGTTATTAAAATTCCACAGGTTTTGCATCCATTGGCTTCACATTTCGAAATAAGACAGTGTTGTTCAGTGACATCAAAATCCAAAATGTCTTGTAGAAGAACTGAACACGGTTGCGTACGTAAATTATTGTTGTTGTCATTAGTATGATGATCTGAAGGTGTCATGTTAGGGATATTTGTCATGTTTGGTGGTGAGGGGACACCTACCATATCAGAAAACACCGTGTCCAAGGTGACGTCTGTTTCGGACCCTTTTATACTGGGCGACGTCCGAGCCGGTATTCTGTTTGATCTTTGTAAACTCATGCATATTATGTTACTGGGCAGATGATGTCCTCGGGGACAAAATGTCCACCAGCAGAGACATCGACCAGGTGGTTGTAAAAGAGAGGCGAAAGATACAAGAGGGACATTCAAACTCATAAGGTTCAAATAAACTGACAACGCCATGGATAAAAAAGAAAAAGACAAACAGACAAACAATAGTTCACAAAACACAACATAGAAAACTAAAGATGTGGTATATGACGCCTATCACTATTAAAAGTTTAAAGGACAATAATGTGAACGATTACACTCACAGCTAGCACATTATAGGTATAAAACCACTACTTCCTAACCCTATTGCATCCTATGTTAAATTCTGCAATTTCAAGCATTCATAGCTATTTTGTCTATTGATTAGATAAAGTGAAACTCATTTCATGTCAAAACTATAGCATCCTGACTTGTTCTGGAAAAAAAATCAATATACCTTCAAATGCTTGATAAAACGAACTGGTTCCTGGAAGTTTGTTAAAACAAAAACAAGTTCTTCTAATGTGAACATCAGGGAAAATATGCCCTCCCATTAAAATTGTATATATATTTTTTATTAATATAAAAGACTTTCAACAAGTGTTTTACAGTTATCCCAAGTCCAAAAGTTTTCTTTTACCAAAATTAACCAAAGATTCTACTCATTGACAAACTTACAACTATGCGTAAGATCTACAAAAAAGAAGTATATATTTAAACAAAATAGATCCTACGCAAAGTTGTAAATTGTCAATGAGTAGAATCTATTTTGTTTAAATATATACTACTTTTTGTAAATTCTTTCTGATCGGGACAAATTAGTGGTTCTATACATATACTCAAATAAAATTTGATACCTACACATTGAAACTTCACTTTGTTTTAGATAATATTGCTTTCCCTCGTATTCTCTTGGATTGTAAAGAGTTATAAAGAGAAAACTGTGAAATACGACAGAGAGAAACTTCTTCTGGAGACCAAAAGACGTACAGCAAGTCCATTGTCATATCTTTTAGGTAATGTTTGTTCTTATTGAACTAGGAATATCAAAGAAATATCTATTTATCAAGCTTATTGGTCCCCATTTCATCTGGTTTCATTTAAAATACTTTGGTAAAACGCAAGGGCATGTCATCAATTTAAACATGTATTCAATATAAAATCAAACCTTCAAACAAGACATAGAACACCTTTTTATACAATTGTTCTGTTCACCTTTTGGTTAAAAAACAAATATACAGTCCGGTCTTAAAATCATGAATGGAGAAAATTAATAGACTAAAAAAACTTTTTCTACATTTGGTGCGCTTTTCTAGATTTACATTCCTCGGTAAAGTTCAAACCAAAGATTTGAATGTCACGGAGAGGTAAAGACAGATATAATATGACCAAAAAGGACTCAAATATATAGCCAAATTTATTTCTCAAAGAAAAAAATAAACAAAGAGAAACATTATCAAACAAAAACTATGAGTAAGACAAAATCTGTAAATAAGTCAACGTGGCTAAAATTGTCTGTCGAATCATTAAAAAAGTTATTGCCTTTTACATGATGTTTTACCGGATTGACTCGCCTTCGACATATGAGCAAAAAGTTAACTATATGTGGTGTATGAAATGATTCCAAGGTGGACATGTCTGCCTGGCAGAGTGCATCTGTCCGTGACCTCAATCTAATGGTACATTTGTCAAAGATTTGTTTTCTAGGTTTGGTCTGTTTCCCGGATACCATAAGCAATATGTTAACTATATTTGATATATTGAATGATTTTCCATCTGACATGGTTCATATGATCTTAACTCAGTTACATGAATCATTAATAATGTTAAGTCTATGTTATACTTGTAATATAGCCTTTTTCTCAAGCCCTTTCCTTCACAATAAGATCTAAAAAACGTCAAATACTGTGGATTCATTATTATTCGTTGGATACCAATTTTCGTGGGTTTCGTGGGTACAGGCGAACCACGAATTTAAATGTTCCATCGAATTACAAATTTATAATAGGCTTTGCATGCAGAGGTTGGCAAACCACGAAATCAAATATCCACGAAAATGCAAGTTTTCCTCAATCCTCGAAAATTGATACCCACGAAAATAAATGAATCCACAGTAGCTGAATCTTTCAGACGACACCTTAATGGTGATTTTTCATTTTTGACGAACACAATAGTAGATATGGAAAAACTGTATATAACAAAAACGATCAGAATGACAAGATTTACAAATAAGTCAAAGAGCCGAAATTGTCAGTCGACCTTTCCATCTCTAAACTATAACCGGAAGTGTTTATTCAGCTCAGTTATTGATAGCATTTTTTTTTTAATCGATAAGCATTTTCTGGAAAATCCGATATTTTACTATTAGTGTAAAATTATTAACAATAATACTGAATCCCAAGGTAAATTAAAAAAAGGAGGAAATCGATAAAACCTTACAAAATCAAATGTTAGTATAATATAATGTTGTTCATAATTTTGGTTAGTTTTGTTTTTTTTAAGATGTGTTCAAAAAGACGCAAGCACCATTGGAACCCCAAAAAGTTGCTAGCTTAAAAGAAAAAAGACAGCAGCGACTTAAAATGCAAGAGATTTTTATAGAACTTGTTTTATATATCATATTCCTTGCTGTTTTGTATTGCGTCAGTTTTAGAAACAGGGATTCTAGATGGTATAATGTTAAACATCATCTAGAGCAGCAGCTTGTTACATCAAATAGTATCTCAGTTGGAGATTCAACGTTGAAATATGATCAGGTTCGTTGTCTTTCCTGTTTAAGGTACCGTTTAATGGGGAAAATCATTACGAGAAGAATACAACCACATAACACTTCAAGTACAGGGTAACATACGATAAGGAATTCAAAAATCTTGAACAAAGCGCAAATGCTTCCATATAACCACTCATAAGCCTGGTGGGATATCCGATGCTGAGGCAGGGATACCAGCAAAGAAGTTATTCACAACATCTATAATATAATATAATGAGTTGTGAATAGGGACACAAGTTATGCATCAAAATTACGAATAATTGATTGATTGGTGTTTGCTTTACGCCGCCTCAGCACAAAAAGGCTATGTCGCGGCGAAAATTATGAATAAGGTGGTGTGACTACCTTTTAACTTACTAGTGACATTTCAAACAAAAACTACTCAAAAATACCAGAGTTGTAAATAAGCGTCAGAAATTCGTATCGACTGCATAAATCTCATCAATGATACTCCAGTCAACTTTTTGAAATGTTTGGTTTTAATGCTATTCAATTTCTTATTCAACTGTTTTGTTGGACATAACGGAGCAGATCTTTTGTAGAGGAAACGCGCGTCTTGTTTGTTAAGTTGTAAGCCTGGTATTTTTATGAGCTTTTACAACCTCTTTGTCGAAACTACTGCTTGTGTACGTTTCTTCTCCGAGTAAATCTACTGTTAAGTCTGTTTTTTATATTCATTTGACGTGACTCTTCTTATGTATCCCGTCATACTTTGAACGACAAAATTATTGTATGTCTACCTGTGTGACGTCAAACGCGCGATACTACGCCAGTACTTAAAACCTTCCATCCTTTATGGGTGGATTTTACATAGATAAATAAAATCGTATAATTAAAAAAGCAAAACTAGGATGTTAAATTTGATGTATGCCTTTTTGTGCTTCCTTGTTACATTTGTTTGTTTTTGTAGTGATTAAGATGATAACACAATGTTGACTGCTGTTTCCCTATTTTTGACATTTTTACCTATCGTGTCTGTTTGTTTTGCACGCATCGTTGTCAATATAATGGAATTTGATGCGACTGTCATACAAGTGAGAGGTTTAGCTAGCTATAAAACCAGGTTAAATCCACCATTTTCTACATAAGAAAATGCATGTACTAAGTCAGGAATATGACAGTTGTTATCCATTCGTTTGATGTGTTTGAACTTTTGATTTTGCCATTTGATAAGGGACTTTCTTTTTTTAATTTTCCTCGGAGTTCAGTATTTTTGTGATTTTACTTTTCACATGTCCTGTAGTCATTACAACTCTTCTACGTCATTTTGTAAATTTACTATTCATACAACTTTAAATTTCCACTGTTTTGTTTTGTTTTGTTTAGGTATTGGTTTTTACTGCTTTTCAATTTCTATTTGACTTTATAACTGCTTGAATTTTAGCGCAACTAAAGAATCGTGTGTGGACGAAACCCGCATCGGAATTACCAAATTAAAATCTTTTCATCTTTGAAGAGATTTTATAGATACTGAATATCCACTTCCTCAATCTTATATTATTTCCGTTGTTATACGCCCGTCTTAGACAGGACGTATTATAGAATACTGTTGTGCGTCCGTGTGTAAACTTAAAACATAAATCTCTTGGTCTCATTATTGTCTCAATTTTCACGATTTCCAATTTTATCATGCGACAAATGTTGAACAAAATAATGTCATAATTGAGAACAAATTTGAGTTTTTTATCTTGCCATTTTCCTATTATTACCTTTGTTATCTACCATTTTTTAATAGTTTCGTCATTAATTCTGAGGTAGAAACCAAATATATCTGTAGATAATGTCATTCATTCATAATTTAATATGTTTAACTAAGACACAAAATATGAAATTCACCTGATAACTTCTGTCATATGTCTTGAACTATTAGATTGTTTTACAGGTTACAACTTCATCTAATTTATATGTTTGGATTGATGAGACCCTTATTGCATTTCTATTTCCACGGTATCATACTAATGGAGATCTACTGAATGCCGAAAGAAGATTGTATGTACAGGACCAAGTAAATTTTCGCGTTGGTCCAATGAGACTGAGACAACTAAGAGCAGTTCAAGGTAATCAAACAATATTCGTATTCACAAGTTGTAAAATGAAAATACACATTTTAAGATTCTTGCGTCCGAATCCCCTTTCTAGTTTTACCTCCTTCAGGAACGATTTCTTTAATTTTCATAACGACGTATACACTTCTTTTTCCTTTTGATTTCCTTTAAATGAAATCTGTATTCGTCCGAAGCGTTGTTCTGAATTTACTTTCGTCAAGAACGCTCTAACCTAAAAATTTGAAAGCCAGGTATATATAAATACGAAAAAACGTTAGAAGATACAACACATTTAAAACAACATTGATAGTCTAACCAAAACATTTGAGAGCTTATCAAGTTTAACTAACTAATCTATTTTAAATACTATAGTAAATAATAATACAAGACATGATCATACATGTTGACAGTCTTCACATAATTCAGAAAAAATTGACAGGGAGAATTTAAGGTAGCTTTATAAAAACGTGACATGCATATGAAAAGACAATACTGTTATATCAAGTAAGTCATCATAGGATTTCAACTGAGTTTCTACAATTGATGTAATGAAATGAGTACAAAATGTGCACAGCAGTATGAAATGTATGTGTCATATACTTTTTTAGCAAAAGTGCTCTATACTCTGAGCAGAAATTGATGAAATTTCATAAAATTGACCTGGTAAAGCTACAGATAGTATTTTTGTTATATGTAGCTGCTGTCAATATGTTAATGCATGTGATGCTTTAATTGCACAAGTATGTATGTATCTAGGTATGTTTCTTTGTGTATTTAGAGGTTGGAGTATGTGTGTGTGTGCGTGTGTGTTTTTGACTACATTGGTACTGTACGTTATATATTGTTTACACACAATTGATCATGACACGAGATATTTATTTTGGTCAAATCGTTACAAAAGTGTATCTAATAATCAAGTTGTAAAAGAAAAAAAAATATTAGTACGACAATAACATTAACGGTACCATTTGTTCTGCACAAGATGTGCATTTCGACAATAAATGTCTCTTCAATGATGCCTGAGGCCAAAATATTTGAAAATCCAAAACTTATTAAAAAGATGAAGAGTATAGCAAACGCCTGGCAAGGAATCAGAGCTATGGATGAGGGAGATATATTCCTTATTTTATAATAAGTTCCAAAATTTTTGTAATCTACCTTTTCGAATCATTATTCCAAATTGTTGAAATATTGCAAAACAATATATCCAAATATGAGGCTCACAAAACGTGCGAGGTCACTGACCGCATTTCGTTTCTGATACATTAGAGATAGTTTTAACAGACCATACCGGAGTAACGAATAATTTTCCGTTCAAATACTGACAAAAAATTAAACTAGTGTTAATATAGATATCATTATAAATATTAATTATAAACTAATTTTGTAGTAGTAAAGAATGTTTATAATAGTAATTTATTTATTCAGATTTTCAAAGTAATGTTGTTTATATAAATTTTTTTCTGAATATTCACCCTGAATATATAGTGGTAAATTCCACAGGGATACTTGATGGAATGATGAACATCAACTAGTATTGTTAAATTTTTATATATGCAATCAAAAATAAAGGAGTAGGTCCGATAAGGGCCGATTTTGGCCTCAAAATTCAGGTTCATCTGATGAAAGATTTTAGACACTTTTTAAACACTTAAGTGTCTACTTCAGTCGATTCAATAAGTGTATGTGAAAGATTTGAACTGATTTAGTCATTGGAGACGCTCAAATTCAAGCTTTAATATGAAAAATCTATCAAATATGCCATAATATGTCACTTTTCAGATGGTTTTTGCCAAAAATGAAAGTGGCCGCATCCATGTTCATTCTCAACCTTTATATATGTTATGTATTATCTTCAAATACAGCTTACATTTAAATATTAAGAATGAACACAAATGCGGCCACTTCCATTTCAGACGGAAACCGTCTAAAAATTAACCAAAAATGCTAAAATTTCGAAGATTTCAGTAATTTAGCATGACTTAGTGATGCTAGTACCCGATACATGTGCATTGTATTGTCAAAAACAGCCCATATTTTTTTAGCAGAAGTATTTTTCTTTCCAATGAATAGCTAAAAATTTACATTTTAACAATTTTGTAAAACTGCTATATTTTGGGGCCAAAAAGGGTCTTACCGGGCCTACTCCTTTGATTGTATGAAAAAAGTTTCTACAATTCAATTCAGCGTTATCATTTTCATCTGAACATGCAATTCAAGCGATATAAATGCAGGCGTTAACTTTTTCAGAGCCATGTAGGACAAAGTTTTGGGGAAATTTTACCTGTTATGATGATTATTCCATTAACGGAGAGGATGATGAAAACTACTGTGTAGCCTGGGAGCCTCGCCCTTGTGTCAGAGGTCAAGCTGTATATAATATGACATCTGCTGCCTGGAAGTTTGTGTCGTCTGTTGATATTTGGGGACTTCCGGTCACAGGACTACATTCTACCTATGGCGGTGGTGGATATATAGCAGAATTTATTGTCAACTACAACATATCACGTCTTATTCTTAATGATTTGTATAGATACGCATGGATAGATCGTAAAACGAGAGCCATATTTACAGAATTCACCTTGTACAACGTGAACGACAATGTGTTTGTATATATCACGTTTTTGGCTGAATTTCCTGAAACAGGTGGCGTCATTACAAGTACATCAATCAAACCGTTTCGGCCTTATCAACATATCGGAAGTCTTGGTATGTTCATCTTTTTTGGTGAAATTATTTTATTAATTGTAATAACTATATTTTCTGTTCATAAATGCCTTTTGTTTTGGAGAAACGGTAAGAAGATGCTGAAAGAATTATGGCATGCTCTCGACATTTTAATTATATTCTTATTCTTGGTTTGCGCCGTAATGTATATTGGTAGATGGATAATGATTAATTTGGCAATGGAAGATTGGGAAAATGATAAGAATAAATTCGTCAACTTCAGGCATATTGCATCATGGGACGAACTGTTTAATGTTTTATTGGCATTCATTATATTTCTGACAACAGTGCGAATCATGCGAATTTTAAGCTACAATGAAAGAATAAATCAATTTGGAAAGGTTCTTGCTCACGTGAGTTGTGATCTTTGTGGATGTTTCGTAATGTTTCTGATGGTGTATGTAGCGTTTGTGACTTTCGGACATTTAATATTTGGCAGGCATTTAAAAACATACAAAAACTTATTCGTGTCATCAACGACATTGGTCAATGCTATTATCGGTAAAAACAGTATCAATGATCTGTTTTCTGTGGAGCCGGTTCTGGGAAGAGCCTATTACTTCTTCTTCGTTTTGTTTTTGTTGTGGATTCTAATGACAATGATGAATGCAACATTAAATGTAGGTATTACAACAGTTAGGAAAAAACCTGTTCGGTCAACATACGGCATCATAAACATCGTAGCAAGCTTCTGGAAAGAGGCTGTTGGTCTCATTATTGCATCAAATGATACCACAACAAAAGACAAGCTAAAGTTATCACAAGACTACATATCAAGTAAGGAAGTTCCAAAGCAAATAGTTATAATACGTCAGGAGATACAAAACAGGTCAAAACAATAAAACCGAAGGAAGACTTACCGAAATAGAAAGTACGACCAAGGCGTATTTATCAGTAATATTAATTTAATCCATGAATTATAGTTGATCTTAAACTAGCTATTTAACTTTTATAGTTGATCTTAAACTAACTATTTAACTTTTGCACAAACAAACTTGTTTTGATATGACATTATCGTCTTTTGTTTTAGAAATTTTCCATAAATAATAATAAGTGTATCATGGTTTCTGTTTATTAAATTGCATCTTATTAAATAGTCTTTTTTCAGTGCATTCTAGATTATTTCCCCTCATGTGACTTGATACATATACGTACTAAGGAATTTTCTACTCCAGGAATAGATTACCTTATCTGTATTTGTCAAAGTATTTAGGAATTTCGGGTCTATAATGCTCTTCAACTTCATACTTTATTCTGCATTTTAACGTTTATGATACGAGCCTCACTGATGAGTCGTTTGAAGACGAAACGCGCGTTTGGTGTACACAATTATAAACCTGGTATCTTTGACGAGTTAATATATAATACTAAATCTTCTTTTGGTATCTAGATTTAAATTACAGTCAATGTCACATAATGTTTCCTGCTGTTGGATTGAACATATTCATTATCATTTTGAGGCAACAGTAGTTTAGAAGATATAAATCAAGTAAAATATAAAAAAAAAACTAATCAAATTCCAAGAATTCCAAAAGGATTAAATCCGGATGCGACTGCATCGCTTGACGATTTTCTTGTGGAATTAACATCAGTATATGATGAATCATAAAGGTTAACGGACATATTTTAAATGGCCTGAACTGAGAGTATTCGTATATATTTTTTGTCGTTTTTCTTTTTGTTTTTGTTTTTTGTGGTTCGTGTCGATCTCAGGTCAAGTCCTTTTCAAGTGATTTTTAATTTTGTTTTAATGTTGTCTTGTTACACAACTGTCCTAGGTTAGGGGAGGCTTGTTCCAAATTAAGGCGACAGTAGTTAATCGATGTTCAAATCATGTTGATCGATTAGGAAAAGGCAAATCAAGGTAACAACCGAATCCTGAGCGAATCACATGAACTGCATCAAAATGTCGCAATCGTGAATAGAACACAATAGGTTAAATTACAGATCACACGACTAAACTGGTTACTAACGATCTCAGATGATGACGTCTTTTCTGTTATATTCGTGTGTTATGGTAAAGATAATTAATCACCCCCTTCATTTATTAGATTTTAGTTTGGTTCAACGAAATTTATACGATATATTTGGTTTACAGTTTGATTCAGAAAAACACCGACATAGCTAGATAATACAATTAATTATCTAATTACTACCACAATTTGATATTAATAAGTATTGTAATTTTCATATTTATTAATAAATGTAACGTCAGTATTACAAATCTAATCTTGAATCAATCCTAATCCTATCTTATTTTTGGGAAATATTTTTACAAATTCAAATGTGACGTCACTTTGTGTGTTTTTTTTAGAATTTCAAATGTGACGTCACTTTGTGCGTTGATGCTTTGGCTAACTCGGCTGTGTATTTTTATGTGTTGGATTAAGTTGTTTTATGTAATGTATCCGTTTTTATTATGTAGTTAGTCCCCACTTCGGTTTTATCATGTATATCTATTATATAGTCATTTTATAAAATTTACTGTTTGCAAAATTATAAATTATTCTAAATAATAAGGATGTTCTTGTCCCAGGCAAAAAACCCTGGCCGTGTTGGGCGCAACTTTTGGGAAGTTTTGGTCCTTGGTGCTATTCAGCTTTGTACTTGTTTTGGCTTTCAAACTTTTTTCATCTGAGCGTCACTGGTTAGTCTTGTGTGGACTAGACGCACGTCTGGCGTATTGGATTTTAAACCTGGTGCCTTTTGTTAGCTATTATTCGTGTGTTTCTTTGTCTTATATGTTTTCCCATTTATTTGTATTGTAATCCTGTCATGTAATGTTGTCATTTTAATGTTATATTTAACATTGCCATAAAAGCGGGAGGTTTGGCATGCCACAAAACCAGGTTCAACCCACCATTGTTTTCTTAAAGTGTCCTGTACCAAGTCAGGAAAATGGCCATTGTTATATTATAGTTCGTTTCTGTGTGTGTTATTTTTTAATGTTGTGTTTTTGTTGTGTCGTTGTTCTCCTCTTATATTGATGCGTTTCCCTCAGTTTTAGTTTGTAACCCGGATTTGTTTTTATCTCTATCGATTTATGAGTTTCGAACAGCGGTATTCTACTGTTGCCTTTAATTATCAGACCGGGACAAAATGTCGCTTATGTTTTTAGACACCGACATTGTATCGATTAACCTATTCATGATATTGACCGTAAAACTAACGTAGTGATGAATTTAGTCGTTCTTCCACATAACTTTGTTGGAGTAGTTTTTTTAAGGAGAACAACACTGCTAATGAAGTCAAAATACGGTGTGTGAACATGCACGAGCGTAACGTATTAACTGACACTAGTAGCAAGATTTAAGTCTGAAACGGTCATTTTGGTCTGATCAAGTCTTAATCGCCTTGATTTACTGCTAGGGAAAAACGTTAAGACCGGTTTAGACTTTCAGACTCTGTTCCGATATATCGTGTTCAGTCAGATCAGTCGGTTCAAGATAAACAAGACAGATTCTTCTTGCGTTCAAATAAGACTTGATTAGATCACGTTCAGATAAAATAAGACCAAAGGTAAAAAATCTGTTTAGTTGCTGTAAGATCGTGTTCAGTCGTGTTAAGATTTTAAATATTTTAAATAAAACGATCGACACTTTATCTGTGTTTATCAGGGGTTACTCCCCTTTATGAATAAAATCGGCATAGCTAGGAGGATATTCTTTTGTGGTCTTTTAATGTAATACTGTATATCTATTTCATTAAATAACGTATGCAAACGTACAATTCATTTTTTCCCGATAGAATTTTTAACATTTAATTGGTTATATAAGAAAAGATTAATTGTCTTAACCGGGAAATGTGTTAGTCATTAAAACTTTGCAGTCGTGCTTTCTGACATAAAGTAGTCCTGTATTTATTCATTCCGCCCGTAAAGATATAATGATAAGTAATATATCCCAAAGATGTTCTGAAATTTTCTTAAACATTTTTTGTTTCTAATGTAAAATAATAGTTCTGATCCATATAAAATTTGTCAAGAAAAATATATTCTAAGTATTTAATTTACTTTAAATTTTTAAATATTATACAGATGACAGTTGCTTGGTGAAAGTTATTTACATTTCAATAAACGGATTATCTAAGCAGTCAACCGAAACGGGTTGTCATAAACTATCTAAATAATTACCCATGCAACGCTTATGATGTTTTATCTATGGACGTAACATGAATAAAGTTCCATGTTTTATCTTATATAAGGATTTACCGGGTAAAATTATTACATTGAAAAATAAAACATTATTTTTTCAAAAAAAATGCAACAAGAATAAAGAATATTTTAAGAATTTAGTTGACAGTTTATATTTACCATTAGGTACCTATAAAGACCGATTTCGATACCTCTCTTGATTTTTTTTTATCATCAAGTTTTTTTTAGCAAGAACTAATACAAGAATAAATCATATAGAAAAATATCAAACAACGATTGATAAAATCTTGTGTACGGTTTATATTTCTGTTTCGTATCAGATTTTTTTTATAACACCAGCGTTACTTCTCATTTAAAAAACAGTGAGATGCTTACTTGCTTTTTCGAAATTGACCAAAAAGCTATAGAATAACGTAGCGAAATGACTGTACTTATAGATTATACCTTTGTTTTTCCATTTTGAATTGTTTTACACTAGTCATTTTGGGGACCCTTATAGCTTGCTGTTCGGTGTGAGCCAAAGCTCCGTGTTGAGGTCGTATTTTTAATCTATAATTGTTTTATACTTTGTAACTTGGATGGAGATGATTATTTGGCACACATACCACATCTTCTTATTTATATTAACCGGGAACAGTTTATAATATTTTCATTTCGATAAAAAGAAATATGTTATTCAGTAAATCAAATCGATTTGTACCATATTGTTACATTCAAAAGTCTTTAACTGAAGTAAATGATTGATAGAAATACATTATGTGTATTGCATCGTTCCTAAAATAATGTCCAGTGTCAAATATTACACATCGATGATCACTTAGATGTTCAACTGATTCAACCAAAAATTAAACTTAGGACTAGGATCAAATGCAATTCATTACGTTACAATTGTATCCAATATTAATATTGCTAATAACATTCAGTCGAGGAAAAGACACATGTGACATTGATATGCATTGGTTTGTTCTAGCCTGATACGGCGAGCGCGTGTCGACAAAAAAAGGTCGTGTTAACAAGAGAACAATTGTTGTGAATCAGAGCCAAATTGACCTTTGTTCCAACTTTACTCATAAATAATGCGTGCTTGTGGACAAAAGGTCACAGACGAAAGGTCACAATTCAGTTTCTGAGACTATTTTTTTTGAAAAAGAGAAAATACTTATTTAAAAAAATATATTTTGTATGTATCTTGAACTATTGTATATATAAACCAACTCTGTAAACAAATGTATTAAATGAACAAATAATTGTTTAGTAAACAAACTATCAAAGTGGATTGGTACCTAAACAGCTTCATGGTGCTAAGAAATATTATATCATTTGCATGATTAAAATTTAATAAATCTTCATTTACCAAGGCTAATGAACAATTTCATAAACTGTAAAAAGAATATATGTAATACAAAGTAATTTTTCAAGATATTTCTCTTACATACTTAAACAATTGTCACTTCCTGTCCTGTGACTTTTTGTCCTGTGACTTTTCAGTGTTCGCTTACTGTTAAGAATAGGACCTCCCTTACCCAGGACCTCCCTTACTAATGGAGAGAAAGCTGTCGGGACTACCAACCCTAAGTGTTAGAGAGAATAAAAAGTACATCAGTCATTCTCAATTTTATATGTTTTGCGTAAAACAAAACGGTTTTAAATGTTGAATTTAAGGAATGCTCGGATTTAAAAAAAAAAAGCTTCACATATATGTATGGTTATTTTTGTTGTCGATGAAGATTTTGTCTATTCATTGTAGTTGGACTGCAATGTGGAATGCCCCATGCCTCTTTTTCTATATTTGAATAATGAGTATCCTTAACAATTAAATGTTTCTTTTTTCAGATTATTTGGTTTTATTGGACTTCTTGATTTTATTTTTTGATGAAAAATACTCAGAGTCGTGAGACGGGTAATTTGTTATATAAGACCTATTGTAAGCGCCTGAAAACAAAGTAGTTTCGCCGCCATTTTTTTTTCAAATCATAATAGACGTCATTGGTTATAAAGAAGGTGATAAGTTCTGCAAAGCTACTTTAAGTTCACTATGAGGCCATCAACATAAGAGAATCAACAAATTTGACCAAAACTTAATCAAGCATACAGCTTGATACTGTATCTTTTGTTATTGTTTTACTTGTACATATCTTCATATTTATTTACTATACCATTTAATGTTGGATGACGAATAAGGCCCTTATCATACTTACCCTTAAAACTTGACATACTGGATTGACATAATCTTTTGTGGGAGACCGTTCGTATGTTGACATATAAATGTCTTTTTGTTTTATGATAATAGTATATGTATGTTTATACTTGTTTTTACAATTCTTGTAGAAAACATACAATTAAGAATAATCTTTTAAAGTGCCAACAGTATTTTCGTCTTTTAAATTTATAATTTTCTTTTATTTCTCTTTCTCTCATTTAGCATGTCTAGTATAAATAGTCAATAAACCTCAAAACAAACATTAGAAGTTTGTTCCTGACCCTGCTCATAGTTCCAAGTAATATCTGAATTATTTTTTGCTATTAAGATTATTTTTTGTAACAAAAAAAATGTTCCGGCGTGACATTTGTTCCGCTGGAACTTATTTCATAGGAAATATGTTCCACCGGAATTTATATCACAGAAAATTTTTACCCGGAATATATATTTTCAGAAAATATGTTCCAGCACTGTAAAATTTGTTCCGGAACTAATTTTTTTACTAGATGTTAAATAAGTTCCGGGTGTTATAGATTAACATGATGCATTAACTTTATATCAAGCAAAACATTCTATAGTTGTACCTGACAAGTTTAATATTCAACATTGAAGTCTTTAAACAACACGACAACGTTCAAATAAGGTAAATCTTTGAGAAATTCAAATTAAGTCAGCATATATATTGTACGTAGATAATATGATTAAAAAACAAATGCACAACTATGATTAACAACTGCGATAAATATTTAAAACACACTATTTCATTTTTGTCTCGCCTTGACGGAGTCAAAAAGCGAGACATAGGTATGTTGTTTCCGGCGTCGGCGGCGGCGGCGTCGTCAACAATGTATTAGTTTGTGATTAGGTCTAGTTTATGGCGAACCACAAGTGGTAGGTCAATCATATTTGGTATGCAGTTGTATTAGCATTGGCACATCTCATTTCCATGGAGATTATTTGGCCCTGCCCCCTCAGTCATGGTCTACTGACTTTGAAACTTTTGCTTATTTTACATGTATTAGTTTGTGATTAGGTCAGTTTATGGGGAACCACTAGTGGTAGGTCAATGATATTTGGTATGCAGTTGTATAAGCATTGGCATATCTTATTTCCATGGAGATTATTTGGCTCCCTTAGTCATGGTTTATTGACTTTGAGAATTTTGCTAAGTTAACATGTATTAGTTTGTGATTAGGTCAGTTCAAGGATAACCATTTAGGGTAGGCAAATGTTAATTGGTATTCAGTTGTATAAGCATTAGCACATCTCATTACCATGGAGAATATTTGGCCCCGCCCCCTCAGTCATTGTATATCGACTTAGAAACTTTTTTTTAGTTTACATGTATTAGTTTGTGATTAGATCAGTTTAAGATGAACTGCTAATGTTAAGTAAACGATATTTGGTATGCAAATTTATTGGCATTTGCAAATATCGTTTCCATGGATATTATATAGCTTCACCCCTCTTCATGGTTCATTGACTTTGAAACTTTTACATAGTTTATAAGTTAATGTTTGTGTTTAGGTTTGTTTAAAGGGAACGACTTATAATAATTCAATGGTATTTGGTATGCAGTTGTATTAGCTTTGGCACATCTCATTTACATGGAAATTGTTTAGCCATGTACCTCAGTCATGGTTCATTGAATATTTGCATAACTTATGAAACATGTTAAAGTATTGCTATTTTAATTTCAACATTTGCATAATCAAAATTACAAAAGGATGAGACATATTTCTGTGATAACAGTTTATCTACAAATTCTGAAATGAAGTAACATATGTTGAATTGCAATATTCATAAATAAATGATTGATCTATAAAAAATTTCTGACGGATTTTTCTTATTCTTCGCTTATCTGCCTCATTAAATTATTGTCATTTGGATATTTTTGTATGGATAATGTAATTAAACATTTTGCTATACTCCACAGAATCCATATTGGATGTTTACACCTTTTATTTATTACATTATCAATATAATACATGTTTTTATAATGTACTTGAATTATAACTTTAAGCTCACTGATAACAATGCTCAGTATAAAAGATAACTTGTATAACCAGTGGAACATATTTCACAGACAAGGAACTTATTTCACCAGGTAAGGAACAAATCTCACAAACCTGGAACTTATTTCACTAGGTAAGGAACAAATTTCACAAACCCAGAACTTATTTCACCAGGTAAATTGTGGAACTTATTTTATAGAGATGGAACAAATCATATAGAAATTATCTGTGAAAAAAGTTCTCCCAGAATATATTTACTGTGATATTTGTTCCACTGGAACTTTTTTCACAGGAACTAATTTTGGCTCACATATTCACAACTGTTCTATATATTATAGTTAGACTTGGGAGGATAAAAAACTTTAAAATGTTGTAATGACATGTCCATTGAAGAAGACCGTAGATTGAACTTTAGAAGTAAATTGTCACGTTTTGTTTGTTGCTTAATTGGGTTGCTGTCTAAATTAATTATGTATACTTCACATCTCCTTTAAAATCATTCATAGAAATTAAACATTGCTTAAAATATGTTAGCATACATCGTCTGAGAGTAGTTTTTTGCTCTTCTTTTATTCCCTTTTAGATATATTTTTAGTCTTCTGTTCTTCAACCTCTGCTATATCTTGCTAGGAAGAGCTAGCTAGGTAGATCTAGACAACATCCAACTCAGCCAAACGATCTTGGGGTGTGTGTGGGGGCACTTATTATGTAATGAGTGGAAAGGATGAGTCGCTGGGATAGGTCACTGTTTGAAGCTTCATGAAATTGCATGAGGTCGAGAAATTAGGTGAAATATAAGACAAGGTTGATGATTGAATCTGAAACTAATCAGATGTCGATATTTTTTTACAGATGCAATTAAAATCACCAGAGATTGTGTATATATGTCTCTAAAATCACTTTCGTAAATGTTTAAGATATTTGTCAAATCTATTTACTAGTATCTCCCCATGAAATAGCGTAACAATGATAGCTATGTGTAGGTATATATACTTATTGTAAAAAATATATGATAGCTAGGGTAACTGCATGTATGTTCTTTTATCATTCAATATATATAGTCAAATGCGTTTTGTTAAAATATACTTTTTCACTCATTTGGTCTTTTGGAAAATGTTGTTTGTGCTGTATTTATACCCCTCTACCAAGGAATTTGTTTTGCATGCACACGTATAAAAATTGCGGTTTTTATCCAACGCAATCATAGGTTTGAACGTTGTTTTCAATTTAGACTTGTTTATATTTTTTCGTTTGGGCTTGTATTATATTTGCCTTCGGACTTATATGATCCGTTCATCCTATTTTGACTCTTTCAAAATACAAGAGTCTATCCTAAATTGAGGTAAATTATATGGCCTTCCAAATACCGTTTCGATTCCTAACATCACTGAAGAGACATTAATTGTCGAAATCCAGATAAGCACCTCACCTATATATAAAGGGTGGGGTATTGGATGTCTCAGCTGCTCACCTCTGCCATAGAAAGGTCGAAGTGCCGCCGCCGCCGCCCCCGCCCCCTGAGATAAAAATTCTTGTGTAAATTAATATTAATCGAACAGAAATAATTTGATATCTCCGTTTTAAAATGTTTGTGTTGCCTTTAGATTATCTTACTGAGTAGGGGGCCTCGGTGGCCGAGTGGTCTAAGTAGTTACTACTGTAATCACTAGCCAGTCAACACTGAGGTTGTGAGTTCGAACCCCGCTCGTGCGGTTGCACTCGACTCCAATCTTAATTGACTAGGATTGTCAGTTTTCCTATCGAAGGTCGGTGTTTTTCTCCGGGCGCTCCGGCTTCCTCCACCAATAAAAACTGGCCGCCACGAAATAGCCCAAAAGCGGTGCTTAAAAGTGGCGTTAAAACACCAAAAATCAAATCAAATCAAATCTTACTGAGTATAAATAAATATAACCTAAGAAAAAGGCATTTTCCTAAAAGTTTTCTTATGTTTTCACGTATAAAATGTACGTAACATGAAATAATCACGTGTGTGTTTACAAATCTTCAGGAGATTTGGCTATTTATAGATAAGTGTTACCTGTGTACCGATATGCATGATTGGTAACCAGGCAAATCTATTTACTAAAATAAAGAGTTCAGATCCGACACTCTACGGGATTAAAAGACATTTACTAGGTTTGAATTGTCCCAACCAATGAACGAAATTTAATTATGACAGCGTCAGTAATATCTTCCAATTAGGTAGTAAGAAAGCCTTCAGCCCGCAGACTGTCCATCGTTCAACTCTTAATACCGTCTCCGAGGAGACGGTAATAAAAAGTAATCAAACAGAACTCAAACTATAGGAGATGTGGAATAAACTTCAATTTGACAGCAACCAAACGACAAAAACGCCATAGGTAAATCAGATATGTCTTTGAGTAAAAGCCAATTTCTATTGTTTCACTGTTTTTATTTCAAATAGCGCAATTAAACAATCACTTTTTCCAAATATATTTTTTCTAACAAAGCATCAAAGAAAAGATCAACAGCCCTTTTATCATTACTACTTAGCAACAAGGAAACATAATTTACCAGTTAAAGATTGGTTGGATTAATTTTCAAGGTGATCAGACATTACACAAGAAGAGCGCGTGCCCCGTAAAAATGTTAACTTGTATTTGTAGTATTTGTATTTTATCCATCTGATGAGTTAAGCCTCTTTCAACTGATTTTTATAGTTCGTTCTTATGTTGTAGTTACACCACTGTCCCAGGTTAGGGGGAGGGTTGCGATCCCGCTAGTATGTTTAACTCCACATTCTGTATGTATGTGCCTGTCCCAAGTCAGGAGCCTGTAATTCAGTGGTTGTCGTTTGTTTATGTGTTACATATTTGTTTTTTGTTCATTTTTTGTACATAAATTAGGCCGTTAGTTTTTTCGTTTGAATTGTTTTACATTGTCATTCGGGGCCTTTTATAGCTGACTGTGCGGTATGGACTTTGCTCATTGTTGAAGGCCGTACGGTGACCTATAGTTGTTAATTTCTGTGTCATTTGGTCTCTTGTGGAGAGTTGTCTCATTGGCAATCATACCACATCTTCTTTTTTATGATAACTTTTAAATCTCTTAAGATTTTCGAACCAACTTTGAACATATTTTTTTACATTATAATAATCAATCTTAATTTACGATCTTGGTGCATATTTAACCTTTCCATTCATATCCTTAGTTCAGACGACATAGTACTATTGGCAGAAAGTGCTGATGATTTACAGAAACAGCTGGATTCTTTCAGTGAATACTGTATATTTGGAAGCTTAAAGTTAACTAAAGTGATGATTTTTTCTAGAGGCAGAATGCCGTCAAATTTACATTTTTATATAGCTATAGACGGCACTGACATTGAAAATATTAAAAGAATTTAACTATTTGGGCATATTATTATCTAGAACTGGTAATACTAAAATAGCACAGAAACACCTAGCAGAAAAAGCCACACAAGCTATGTTTAAGGTGTTGAAATCAGGCCGCATACATAATCTTTCCACTCAGTGTCACTTAGATCTTTTCTATAAAGTTGTGAAACCCATACTTTTGTATGGATGTGAAATTTGGGGGCATGGTGATGTTGAAATTATAGAAAGAATCCATCAGAAATTCTGTAAACTTCTTTTGAAACTGAAAATTCCACACCTAGCTATATGGTATACGGAGAACTTGGTAGATATCATTTAAATTAAAAATAGTATCTTATTGGTGTAAATTAGTATCTGCTAAAGAGACTAAGTTATCTTCTATCGCATATACACTATTAAAAACACTATTTACTGTTAATAATGTATGTACATTTTTTGTGAGTGAAGTTAAAAATATATTGGATGAATGTGGTTTTTCAAATATTTGAATTTCTCAATGTTTTGGTAATGATATATGATTAAAAAATGCACTAAAGTTGCGATTACAAGACCAATACAAACAGTTGTGGAATACACAATTTCAAGAGTCTACATAATCAGTAGATTATAGAATTTTTAAGTTAGAATTAAATTTTGAAAAAAAATATTTTGATATGTTGGATATGCACGAAAGTATTATTTTATGTAGATATAGAACCACAAACTACAGACTCTCAATAGAGACAGGGAGGTGGAATAATGTTAATAGAAATGATAGAAAATGTCATCTTTGTAATATTGGTAGCATTGGAGACGAATTTCATTATCTGCTAGAATGTCCACTTTTTAACGACAGTAGAAAATTATACCTTGATAAGTACTATTTGGCTTATGTTAATACACTAAAGTTTAGAAAATTGATGAGCAAATTAAACAAAAATTCAGAGCTAAAAAGATTATGTAAGTTTATAAAGTGTATAAATAAACATGTGGGTCCTCCTAGCTAAAATGTATATTATTTGGAAACCACTGTATTGTATATATGTTTTGTAAATAGATGCATATTCATGTACATATTTTGCACTCTCTCTGTACCTATGTATCTGCAATGGTTATGGGAATAAAGATATTGGTATTGGTTTATATGAACTCGTCAAGCTTCGGTGGATTCAATCAACACTATGATAACTGGACACATTATACAAAAGTCGGCGCGTGCCATGTAAAATGTTAATAACTCTTTCATTTCTAAATACATTTACACCAAAATTTAAATATATGCTCTTTATTTACAACATTATCATACTGAATGACCTTGGTACTTATATGACTGTTCCATCATGGGATTAGTGCAGTTTTCAGAGCTTAGTGCACCAAGGCGGCCTAGGTGGTGTTTAGACGTACCCGGTAAATCAGTCTTCAACAAGAAACAGGGGCGTGTTTTTTTGTTCTTCGGTAGTGAGCCAGAAGAGGTCCATTTCTGTTTTTTGGCATAGGGAGGATCTTCTGGCCCTCTTCCACCTCTTCGTTTTTGATAGGTAGTTTAGACGGCCAATAGTAGCAAGATTTAAGTCTGAAACGGTCATTTTGGTCTGATCAAGTCTTAATCGCCTTGATTTACTGCTAGGGAAAAACGTTAAGACCGGTTTAGACTTTCAGACTCTGTTCCGATATATCGTGTTCAGTCATATCAGTCGGGTCAAGATAAACAAGACAGATTCTTCTAGCGTTCAAATAAGACTTGATTAGATCACGTTTAGATAAAATAAGACCAAAGGTAAAAAATCTGTTTAGTTGCTGTAAGATCGTGTTCAGTCGTGTTAAGATTTTAAATAT